ATTTTACTGCATTTTTGAAAGCACCTTAAAAAAATAGGTGAACTTTATTAAAGGTTCTGCATACCTAGGACTTATAGTTTGTGAGATATTTCAATTTTAGTGAAAATGCAAGCATAGCGTAGAAATTTAATATTTGCAATAAAAAAATTATTTTAAGGAAGCAGCTTTGGAGGGTCTATTTTAGATACTTGAAGTTGTAAATTGTTATATTTGTCGTCTCTTAGTATTATACAGTGTGTTCAAAAAACTGCTGAATACTTCTCTCAAATTTAAACAGCAATAACTTGGTTATTTTAAATGGAACACCCAGTATATTTTTGCTTTGGGAGTTGGGAAATTTAAAACTCTTTCAAACCGTGTATAGGTTTCCTATACCTATCTCTAACGGTATTGGAGATATTTGTGCCGTTTCGTTTTTTATCGATTTTTTTTTGTAAAATGTGTCCACGTGCCTTTATCGAGGTCTTTACTGAACTGGTTTAGGTTCTTTTTGATGACGTCTCTTTAAATATAAGGAGAAAAATGTGAATGCAATTAGATGGCGCACCTGCACATTTTTCATATTCAATGAGAAATTGTATAAATCGATAATTAAGTAATAAATGAGTAGGTAAGAATGGTCCATGTCAGTGGCTACCACAGATGTCCAAACCTCTCGTAATGGACTTCTTTGTTTCGGGCTGTATAAAAATATATCTTGTACACAGTGTTCCACCTACTACTTGCGATGATGTGAAGAAAGGAATTAGATATGTATTTGCCACAATCACCCCAAATATTCTAAGGAATGTGAGAATATCATTTGAAGATAAAAAAAGATTCAAGATAATGGTTATCAATTCGAACATCTATTAAAATATTCTTTGTTTCTTCTAAAAGTAACATTTTCTTTAATACATATTTTTCATGTTCATAAATAATTTACTTACTACAAACATATTTAAACAAAATTAATAACTTTTTATAATTATTCTGCTTATGAAATAATATTTTTTATTAGAAAACTTTTTTGAATATTTTTATGATAACGATAAAAGAAACTTTTACTTTTAGAAAAAACAAAGAAAAATTTTATTTGATGCTCGAATTGATAACCATTCTCCAGAATACAGCATCTTATTCTATCTTCAAATAGTATTCTCACGCAAATGCATCTCTAATCCTTCCCTCCAATATCATCGCAAGTAATAGGTGGAACATTGTATACAAGGTTTTTTTATAGCTCGCAACAAAGACGTCCATTACGGTGAGGTCTGGACACCTACGTGGCCACTGACATGCACCATTCCTACTAATCCTTTTATTACTAAATTTTCGATTTAAATAATTACTCACTGAATATGAAAAATTTGCAGGTGCCCCATCCAATGCATCATTTTACTCAATATATTTAAAGGGACGTCATCAAGAAGAACCCAAACCAATTCAGTAAAGACACTCGATAAAGACACGTGGATACATCTTACAAAAAAATCGATAAAAAAACGAAACGGCACAAATATCTCCAATACCGTTAGAGATAGGTATAGGGAACCTATACACAGTTTGAAAGAGTTTTAAATTTCCCAACTCCCAAAGTAAAAATATACTGGGTGTTCCATTTAAAATAACCAAGTTATTGCTGTTTAAAGTTGAGAGAAGTATTCAGCAGTTTTTTGAACACCCTGTATAATACTAAGTGACGACAAATATAACAATTTATAACTTCAAGGATCTAAAATAGACCCTCCAAAGCTGCTTCCTTAAAATTATTTTTTTATTGCTAATATTAAATTTCTACGCTATGCCTGCATTTTCACTAAAATTGAAATATCTCACAAACTGTAAGTCCTAGGTATGCAGAACCTTTAATAAAGTTCACCTATTTTTATACGGTGCTTTCAAAAATGCAGTAAAATATAGGGTGTTCCATTTAAAAAAACATAACTTTGATATGATACGGTTTTCCTGGACATCCTGTATATATCAAAATATTTTTAAAATGTAGCCGTAATCAACCTACACATACCCACCGAAACAGGTTTCTGTAACATTTGCCGTTTTGTCACTAGTGACCGAGGCGTTACTGGTGGCCCACCCTATATATGTATTGTCCTGATTGCCAGCCATTACAATAACGACTTCTTTGTTTCTCATCTAACTTGTTTTTGTTATGATTACGTTGTTCGAAAAACATAATAATAATTCTGTGTATGTTTAGCCTTCATTGTCTTACGCTCAGGGGCGTATATTTTTCTAAGATAAAATTGTTACAATTATTATTATAGATTGCTCATTATTTATTACATGTTAAAATATGTATATTGTCATGACTGCCCAGATATTGCATTAACGACCTCTTTGTTTCACATTTAACTTGTTTTATCATGATTAGGTTGTTCTTTGATTTCTTGTGCTCACTTTATGTCATACGTCTATACGAGCCTTGTTGAATTTACTAACATTTTCGCCCGTGCGGAACGAATCTGGATTAAGCTCGATTGCCTCCCGTATGGGACTCCAGTGTTATGAAGGATCTTCCGAAATCTCAACTATAGCTGGATTGCCTCCCGTATGGGACTCCAGTACCTTCCGGCTCTGCCGGCTAACTAACACCAAACCTCTTCAGTTTTACTTGGAAGTGTGTATGACTAATATGAGGTAACAGATGACATTTAGTGACACATTAAATGAGACAGGTCTTATTTATCATTAGCAAAGGTTCTTAATTTATGCCTTTGGTTAGCGGTTGTTTTGTATTTATATTTGGGTGGTAAGAGCAACGATCGTGGGTTTCTCTGCCATGCTCTTTCCCCACAGGAGCTCTAGGTGAGCCTGGCACTCTCATTTTATGTTAAATGGTTGTTAATGTTTTTGTTGTTCTTTATATTTGTCACATGTTTAATTTGAAGACTGTTTTAATAAAGTTAGATGTATTTTCTCTGCTTTTGTTTTATATAATTAAATCATACATCCCCTCTACAAAGTTAGTAGCCAGCGCCTTCCGGTCAATTAAAAATAGATACACACAACGTAGGTAGTCCTTATGATGATCACATATTTTTGGCCACAATTACGTTTATTTTTTATCGAACCTAGGGTTGTTATATTACAAATTATTTAATTAATGGGTTTGATTTGCGGATTGGTAATGGAGGAAATATTCAATGGCCTTCAAATAGCCCAGACCTTACCGCCTTGGACAGTTTTCTGTGGGGTTACTTAAAAAACGAGGTTTTTAAGAAAACTAGTGTAAACTTAGATGAATTAAAACATAAAGTTGATCAATGTATACAAAATTTAAGTGAATTTGATTCCCATTTCATACTAAACGCAGTTCTGAAAATTAAAGAGGATTGTACGAAGTGCATCAGTAATAATGGCGGTCACATTGAACATCTGTGACCATTTGTGTTTTAGTTGGTTTTTATTAATTAAGTATTAAAATTCTGTTAAAGTTAAGACTTGTTAAAGTTAAGAATGATTTTTATTATTATCATAAAAAAAACGGATAACTTCAAATTTTTCGTTCTCACTAAATATTACTTCTTTGTTAAAATATGTTGTTACAGGAAATAAATTAATGATTATAAATAAACTTCTGTCAAACTCATTTGTTTGTTCCGTTCCGCGTGCCATAGCCACTACGATCCGTCAGACATAAATTTCCCTCCTGTTTTTTTCAAAAATAGTTTTAAATTGAAATATGTCGAAAAGTCCTGAATCAAACAGTAACATATTATACATTTTTGAAGAGACAAATTTAACGAAGCTAAATTTCTTTAATTTAGTGATTTTTATTATTCAGTTGTTTTTTCTAATACTGTATTATAAAAATAAATATAATAAATAATAAAAAAAGTAAAAATGTTTGTATTAAAAACTTTTTTGTAATTTCATTAATATACTCACAATAAGTTGTCAGATTATAGTGACTAACAAGCGTTACATGCTGCAAATGCAACGATTAGAATTTTGTGGCTGCAACATGCACAAAATGATAAATTCATTTCGCTTGTCATGTGGTCTGATGAAGCGTCTTAGATCAAAACGATTTCAGCAACATTTCAGTGTCAACGTTTAGAGTAGCATTTTCAACAATAATTTACTGCCTATACATGTTTTAAATGATCGTTTAAATGCAGATCTGTATAGAAGTTTCTTGGAAAACAACCTTTCTGATTTCATTGATGACGTAAGGCTTAACATTGTTCAAAATATGTGATATCAGCACAATGGTGCACCACCACATAAAGAGAGACAAGTAACTGCTTGGTTAAATGATAATTTACTAAATAAATGGATTGGTCGGCAAAGTTCAATAGCATGGCTACCGCGTTCCCCAGATCTAAATCCTTTTATTTATGGGGACATATGAAGTCTACCATGTTGAAATCACTACTCGTCAGCAGTTACTTGAAAGAATTCAGGATTCAGTTAACCATATAAGGAATTATCCAAATCTCATCCGTCAAGTAACGGAATCTTTAGTTCGCAGACTATTTTGATTGAAACATGAAATTATATTTTTTTAAATGCTTAAAACTTCTAAACAATCGGACCTTTGTTCGTAAAAGAAGAAATGTTTTAAATTAACCAAGCTACCATATGTCTAAGTTTGTCACAGAGCTTGTAGAGCACCCTGTATTTAGCTGCTTAGCTGAAATATGTAAAGGCATTCTCGGAAAATGTAATCATTGTCTATTTAATTGAATTACCTAAAAATATGAAGTTATACACCACCGTGGTATGTTTATTCTATGTTAAACGCAATGTTAAAAATAATTGCGAAGGTTTCTGAAACGTGCTTAGGCTTGTATCTAAATATCTTTCGTATACCTAGATTTCTGGTATCGAAGAACATTCACCATGTGGTAAGATACAATGTTTCTAAAAAGAAACATTATTTTAATTTGTTTGAATAAGATGAATGCCTTTGACATAGCGTAAAAGAACTTATTTCTTCTCAGAAATTCACGTCAAAGTGGGATTGTCTTGTATATATTTTTCATGTAACTCACCCTTGTCTGTGAGTAAACAAAGCCATCAGGATTAACCACAGGGAAAAAATACCAGATATGTTCTTCTGCTAACTTGCGCACAGAACTATTAGTACTTGTCAATATCTCATTCAATATGTATGTTGTTGTTGCAGACGATATCCTGAAAAATAATATTTCTGGGTATAACCGCTAAAATCTCATTATTGTTACAGAAAACAGAACGAATGGAAACATAGATTCAAAAAATTTTAGTATCTGTTACATACTCATTTAATAATTCTAAGCTATATTTAAATGTTTATTCCAACCACTTCTAAATTTACTCGGGGTTACTGTATATTGTACCACATCAAAACATGGATTGGTAATGTCAACCTAATTTTTGAAGAAGTTGTAGTCCAAAAAGATCAAGGTCATCTTTTTTTTAAATATGCAGCCATATTAAATATTTTTTGTGATTCAGCTAACTTACCTCTATTCAACTGGATATGGTTCCTCAAAACAGCATTTAGAGGTATTGGTATTTTAATGAAACATTTAATAGAGGTAAAATAAATCAGAAAAAAATAATATAACTTCAAATTTAGCAGAAGGTTCATGTTTAATTAGTTTAGATTACCGCCAAATTCAGTCAGGATATTGCAATAAGTAGCCATTTTGCAGTAGGTACCTAAATAAAATGATGTTACATAAAATACCAGTGCTTTCCCAAAATGTCTACCAACGGAAAAAGAATAGCAAAAAAATACCGTTTCTGGTATACTAGCACCCTTTTTACTTTAAGTAAGAAACAAGCCTATGATCTTTGATTAAATTTAATTAAAAACTCGCCTAAGCTAATAGTCCAGGCGATAGAGCAGTAAAAGTAGGCTTTAGCGTTTGTGTTTGAAGTCATCTGTTTTGTTATACAGAAAAATCCCAAATATTATGTAGAATAAATTTGTCTATTCCAAAAAAACCATTGCTAAATTCAGGGGAACAACAAACATACAAAAAAAACGAAGAATTACCAGTTTTTCGACATATTTTTACCTGTAACATTGAAAGTAAGCCCTATATAAAAAAGTCATTCTTTATTTTTTGATTATTTTCTATAAAATTGCAACAACTGTGAACCAAAAAAGTTTAATTTTGCATTAACAGTCGGCGAAAATAGTAGAAAATCATATGTATATTTGGAGCAATTTTTAAAATAAGTAAATATTTATATTTATTTTTTAAACTCAAAATTCCTGCAACAATTATTTATTTTATTGATTTTTGATGACATATTCGTATTCCTCTCATTCTGCTACATCAATTTAAAAAAAATCGTCTTGATAAGTGCTACTGTTCCCGAGAAAAGTATGTACCTGTAGTTAGCTATAAAAACATATATTTTTCTTTTTTCGACTTCACGATTACGTAATCTACACAGTAGAATGCTGTCGTATTTGGCTAAAAAGCAAGGGGTTACGACATAGTTTTTATATGTGCAAGATTTTGTCGATTGCATAGAAAATTCCCTGAGCAATAAATAATTGTTTATACAGGGTGTCCCGGAAATGGTGGGCAATCTCTCGGATGTGGATAGATAATGAGAAAATAATGGCACAAGTTCATATACAATTTTATCCTCCGGGCTCACCCTGTAGAGTTATTAGCTCTTGAAGTTGAGAATTAAAAATGTTTTTTTTTGCTGCAACTTTCGTATTTTTCAATAAATTTTGAAAATTTTTTGGCTGGATGTATAATTTTTGAAGTTGCTTTGGATGATAATATGAAATCCTCGATAATAATTATGGGGGCCCGGGGGCAAAGCACCCCCCACCAAAATTTCTAGAAAAAAAATTTTGTTCCACTATACCCCAAATTTTCCATCATTTTATAAAAATTTATGGTATTTTACGTAAAAAAGGTATACTTGTTGAATATCCATAAAATATAATTTTGTATAATTTTTAACGTGTACTGACAGTTTCTAAAGTGTGATTTTATAACAGTGGTCTTAAAGGTAAATCACATGACTTACTTTTAACACTAGTGCTAAAAATAATTCACTTTTAACACTAGTATCATAAAATGAAATTGACTGACAGCATGCGTTAAAATTATACCTTAATGACGTTTGTAGAAAAACAAGTTTAGAGACAACGGTACTGTTTAATTTGAGACATTTTATTTAACAGAAACACAGGTTTAATCGTAGTTGGCTTTTACATATCAGAATAAAGGACAAATAATTTGCAATAGCAGTGTTCCAAATTATGAGAATTTGGACTTAACTAAACTAACTAAACGAAAAGTGCATGACAATCAAAATTTTGTAACTAATATAATTCATAATAAATTCTCAATATTAGTTCCACCTTCTCTTATACAAATACGAGCTCGTTTAACAGAAGACTGTTGCACTCTCCATAACATTTCAGGATTTTGTCGTATTTCATTTGCACAATAAAAAATCCTTTCTTCTAATTCTTCTCTAGTGGTTACAGGTGTGGAATAAACAAGATTTTTCAAGTGCCCCCAAAAGAAAAAGTCAAGTGGGTTCATATCTGGAGTTCGGGCAGGCCAATGAATAGGTCCACCGCGACCTATCCAGCGATTAGGATATACCTCGTTTAAATGGTCCCTTACTGCAGCACTAAAGTGAGGCGGCGCCCCATCGTGCATGAATATCAGTGCATTTCTGGTTTCAAGATCAACATCTTCTAACAGTTGTGGTAATTGATGCACAAGGAAATCTAGGTAACGTTGACCATTCAGTCTAGGGGGTAACACAAATGGACCCAATAAGTAAGGACCAATAATTCCACTCCAAACATTAACATAAAATTGTCTTTGGTGCCTAGTTTCAATAATAGCGTGTGGGTTCTCATCAGACCAATAATGTAAATTATGGGAGTTAATAACTCCATTCCTCCCAAAACTTGCTTCGTCAGTATACAGAATTAATCTCGTAAACATAGGATTTTGCTCATGTCTCTGAAGAAACCATTGAGAAAACTGTACTCTTGCACGAAAATCATCAGGATTAAGAGCATGCACTTTTTGGATATGGTAAGGGTGAAGAAGCTGTTCTCTAAGGATTCTTGCAACAGTGGTCTTTGGAACATTGGTAAAAGAAGATAATGACCTAATGCTAACTGTTGGATGAGCAGCAACTTCGTCCAGTATATTTTCCTCTACTTCAACTGTACGTGCTGTTCGCGGGGCACCCCTGTTTGCAGTAACAGGAGCAAACTGACCTAAAGACATTAAAATTTATTTAATATCCATTTTGTTTAATAATAGTAATCGTATTTTACCAGTTTCTCTTAATCTTTGATCAATACGTTCGAAAGTTTTGCGATCCGGAATCCTTCTATTAGGATAAGAATGCTGATAAAATCTTCTTGCTGCCGAAGCATTACAAAGAGCCCGCCCGTACATTAAATGCATATCAGCATATTCTTCATTGGAATACTCCATATTTTATAACAAATTATGAGTTATGAGATGAGTCTTAGATTTAAAACTACGTATTTGACAAGTTTGACAATTTAATTGACTTTGGCATACTCTGACATGTCAAAGCCATACCACGATTAAATCTGTATTTCAATTAAATAAAATGTCTCAAATTAAATGGTACCTTCCTCTTTAAACGGGTTTATCTCAAAAAATATCTATTTTATGGATATTCAACAAGTATACCTTTTTTACGTAAAATACCATAAATGTTTATAAAATGATGGAAAATTTGGGGTATAGTGAAACAAACATTTTTTTTCTAGAAATTTTGGTGGGGGGTGCTTTGCCCCCGGGCCCCCATAATTATTATCGAGGATTTCATATTATCATCCAAAGCAGCTTCAAAAATAATAGATCCAGCCAAAAAATTTTCAAAACTTATTAAAAAATACAAAAGTTACTGCAAAAAAAAACATTTTTAATTCTCAACTTCAAGAGCTAATAACTCTACAGGGTGAGCCCGGAGGAAAAAAAATTATATGAACTTGTGACATTATTTTCTCATTATCTATCCATATCCGAGAGATTGCCCACAATTTCCGGGACACCCTGTATAGTAAAATGTTAAAAAATAAAAGTGTAAAAATAGGTAATTTTAGTATTCATCATTGTTTATTATGACAACAAGTATCTCTAAAAAATTGTGTGCCCTTTTTAAATCTTAATTTAACCCACGGTACGCGATAAACTTTCTAAAATTTTCTTAATTAACAATTCTGTCAATCGAAAACCTCGCTGCCGATCGTTCCAAAATTTGAAGAATTGACATGTTTTTCTATTTGTTTACAAAGTTTCATCAATATTTATAAATATTTGCTTACTTGTTTTAAAAATTGCTTCAAATATATATTTATGATTTTCTATTTTTCGTCCATTGTTAATGCAAAATTAATCTTATACTACTCCACCTTCTCTGAATACAAAATAATGCTAATATTATAAAGACATCTTACCATTCGCGAGCGTGAATGTTCGACTCCACGAATACAGATTTTTTATCTTTACTGGAACCATACGAAACTTTTACACCCACAATTGGGCGTCCTTCGTAAGTACCATTCAGTTCAATAAGGCTTACTATAGAAGGATACTGTTCTGGTAGACTCTTGATCCAATTATTGATCTGAAACCATAATACATTTTTTTTTTTGGTTCTGTTATAACGTTGTGGAACAATTAGCTGAGGATACTGAATTTACTAATAATATATTATTTACTAACGAAGCTGGTTTTACGAGAAATGGTATTACAGCATGGCCACTTAATTAATTGCAGAAAGAATTATCAAAAATTTTATTTTTAATAACACTTTATTTGAGATTAATAGCGATTTCCTCCTAAACTGTTACATTCATCGACTTGAATTAAGTATAATATTTTTTCTGATATGATTTTTCTTTTCAGTAATGTTTAAATTTCTGTGATGTCTAGCACGAGAAAAAAGTTATGAACAAAACATACTTTGAGTTCTAGATAAAGTTCCTTTTAGCGGCGCATAATGAAACTTTTCTCAGCCTGGTCTAATAGAGCTTCATTTACTTTGTGGGTGTGCCAAATGAGAGACTAATAGAAATTGAATTAAATAAGTTATTTAAATAGAAATATAAAAAAAAACTTTGACAAGCTGTAACTTGCAAACAATTGACAATTCGAAAAAAATTTTCATTACATACTGTTACTATCTTAATCCGTAGAATTACCTCCCGGAGTTTCCTGACGGACTTTCAGAACACCCTGTATATTATAAATAGGCTTAGTGCGGCACGGAGTTTAACAGGACCTTAGTCAGATTTCGAATGAAAATATTAATATGTTTACACAAAATATGTCGCAACATAGTACTATTACCAAAGAGCAAGGCTAAGTAGAGGATAAAATATCTATATAAATTTAAATTACACCACCCACTTCCCTTGAGACCTTGAGACAAGACTTCCGTGGCATATTGGAAGGAGTTAAAACATATTACATACTACGTGCTTTTCTAAGTGTTCTTTAGTGAAACGGCGACGTTTATCACTTAATATTAACTTGTGCAGGGAAAATGATCGTTCAACGTCTACTGTTGACAACGGACAGTATGAGAAATTGTTGAAGCATAAACTATACAGGGTGTTTCACGGTGACGGCCCGTTAGAATTATTTCAGAAATTACTTCGATTTGAATTTTGAAAATTTGGGATATCGGGTTTTCGGGCATGCCCTTCTCAACTAAACGTACACTTCCGGTTATACAGGAAGTCGCCATCAAAATGCTTATTTTAAATTCAACACCCTATACTTTTATGAAGTTTTCCTATTCCTAAAATTAACCGTTCTCGAGATATTTAATTTTTTTCAAAAAAATCGAGAAAAACAGTGACTAGAGCTTCAAACCGTCTGTATTTTATAGTAAGAAAGATAAAACAATGATATGTATAGCTAGACCCCTAAGCATCCCTTCCATACTTTCAAAGTGGCTTAATTGCATACAGGGTGCTAGAAATTTAATGGCGAGTTTAGTTAACTTCAAACCTTCATAAGTCGGTTTTCTAAATGGAACATCCTGTATGTTTTTCTATATTCTGATACACAATTTTATTCTCTTTCGAACGGTATCAGGGTTCTCTATACCTATCTCTTCTAGTTTTTAAGTTATCTACTATTTTTTGTTTAATCACCTAAAATCATGTAATTTCTTGCGAGGATAGCTGTGGAATTTTTAGCAAAACTTCAAAATAAACAACTAAACTGTCACCAGTTATTTATTATTACTTATTCACAGACGTTGCAACGGAATTCTAAGCAGGACATTTACAGTTTTTAATTAGACATATCCCAATTTTCCACCAATGAGCAGAATAATGTTAAGAAGAATTCTAAAAAAACAACTTCATACATAGTAATACACAATTTTAATTATGTATGTTGATAATAATAATGCACTAAGATAAAATAAATGACTTTAAAAAGTCATAAATATTCAATATGACTCCCATTAACATCTAAGCACTTGTGGATTCTAGAGATAACACCATCAGTCACCGCTTTTGCTATTTCAGCTGCAGGCAATTGATGGAACGCTCTTCGTATTCGAGCAATGAAATTCTCTTTTGAAGCAACGGGTGTAGAATAAAGTTTTTGCTTTATTACTCCCCAAACATAAAAGTCTAATGGAGTGAGGTCGGGAGACCTCACTGTCCAATTCCACGGTCCTAGGCATCTCATCCATCTATCTTCAAACATTTCAGTCAGCTGTTGATCGATTTGATTGTGACAGTGAGGTGGAGCCCCGTCTAATTGATACCAACACTTCCTTAGTTGGCTTAAAGGTATATCATCTAGAAAATCTGCCACAACCGTTTATTACAAAATGTTGAGATATCTGTCGGCATTTAAATTTTTTTCGTAGATGTGGTAACAAATTTGGTTATCTTTAATTAGACAAAAAACATTTACGCTAAATTTATTTTGAAAGTTTCTTTCCCGGATAACATGAGGATTTTCAGATGACCACAAATGAGTATTATATCTATTAAAAATACCTTCTCTCGTAAATTTTGACTCGTCTGTCCATATAATATGTTGCAAAAATTGTGGATCTTCTTGGTATCGCACTAACACCGTTTCACAAAATTGTACGCGTTGCACGGCCTCACCCGGATGAAGAGTAGCTTAAATTTGTATGGTTGCATATAATTAGTTCTTAGCAACCTGTGAATGGACGCTCGTGAAATGCCTAAATCATACTCTGCGGCACGAGTTGAGGATTCTGGATGAACATTAAAATAGGCTAGCATATTTATTATATTATCTTCATTTAAAGTTATTGGTTTTGGTAAAATTCTATCTGCACAAATTCGACCATACTCTGGTTGATTTGCTAAAATTCTTCTTAACTTTTTCTGCTCATTGGTGTCAAATTTGGATATGTCTCATTAAAAACTACATGTTCTGCTTATAATCCCATTGCAACGTCCGTGAATGAATAATACATTTAAATATGTATTGTTTTCCATTTCTTATGAAAACTAAATTAAACTGTCACTGCAAGAGACTAACAACAAATTGACAATTTAGTTGTTTCTTTTGAAGTTTTGCTAAAAATTCCACAGCTATCCTCGCAAGAAATTACATGATTTTAGGCGACTACACAAAAAATAGTAGATAACTTAAAAACTAGAAGAGATAGGTATAGGGAACCCTGATACCGTTCGAAAGAGAATAAAATTGTCTATCAGAATATAGAAAAACATACAGGGTGTTCTATTTAAAAAGGTCATAAAAGTCCATCTATAATAACACGTAGAATCCAAAATTGCAATAATATATAGGGTGTTCCATTTAAAATAAGCAAGTTGATGGCGACTTCCGGTATAACCGGAAGTGGTACGTGGACGCCAATATTTTAGTCGAGAAGGGCATTCCCGAAAACCCGGAATCCCAAATTTTCAAAATTATAATCGAAGTAGTCTCTGAAATATTTCTAATGGGCCGTCACCGTGAGACACCCTGTATATTAATATATTTGCTTGCAACTCCTGATATTTACCAGATAAAACTTTACATATGTTTTCCAAAATGGTGCATCCTGGATTGTTGTAAACCCGACCGACATATCTTAGTCTTACCGTACTTTCATGATAGATTTTTCGGTTCATATATTTTTGTAAAAACGTACGGAACTTGGAGTTCTCTAGTTTGTTTAATGGAATATTGCTTGAAAGAAAGGCGCCTGTAAGTTCATTGAAAAATACAGTCTTCAGCGCTGTACGAGGCATGGCTCTTCAAATGTCTTGTCACTTCAGTTTCGTAACAAGAATTTATAATGCGTTCACACACAGTACAAAACCGGTCATTTCCTTCGTGATCACCGTCAAATCACATTTGAAACAATTCCCATCTATTTCTTTTCTCTTTTAGCATTTTACTTCAATTTTTCCCCCAACTAATAGTTGTTAATATAAATTATGTTACTATTTATAAACAGTTCCGTAAATAACTGAACAGTTCAAAACACGAGTCAGCTGTGAAGGCCACCGACCCCCGCGCAGGCTCTGTTAGACTCTGCACGTGTACTAAGCCTAATTATAACCTGCTAGTATTAGTGCTGCCAATATACAGTGCAATATTCACTAAAAATTAAAGATTCCCAGGATCAAATTAGGACTATTAAGCAATATTCTGAGAATCATTTTTAATAACAGCTAAAAACAAATATGTGAAATGAAAGTTTTTAATTAAAATTATAAATATGCTTACCTCATCAAGCGTATTATAACGAGTCCATCCAAATCCTTTTTGAGTTCGTGGGCTTCTCTCTGCATCGATTAGTTTTTGAACGTTATCTATAATCATCGCTGAACTCATTTCTCTTCTTTTTACTATATCCTGCAACTCATCTGCCCTATCGGGGGAGACCATAATCTCCACTGGTTGTCCTACAGGTCCTGTATGACTCCAAAAATCAAATCCTAGTGAAGCTGATCGCTCAAGTTCTCGCAAAGCCTCAACCGCCTGGAGAGTACTTGGAGTGACATTCAATAGTTTGTAATTGTCATAACGAACTTCAGAAGAAAAAGAACTTCGCACAATAAAACAAGAGAAAAATATTAAATAAAAATTCATTTTTATGAATACCGTGCAGAAGAGTATAGCGCAAAATATAAGTAGCTACACATCGCTACGTTATATTTATTTGATTTGACGCCTCACTGAAAATAAATATCCGTAACATTTGATTGAACACGAACAATCGAAAATTAACATTCGTTGGGGAGACATGCTTTTAATCTAGATTACACGATTTTATTTTTTATCAATAATTGTTACTTGCCTATTCAATCAAATTTCAATTAATCTCAAATCAAAAATTAATAGAGATGATGCCGGCACAAATTTGTAGACGAGCGGTTCACCCCTAAATAAAAGGCATGAACCGACTAAATTTTTAAAACAAAAACCTGCAGCATGAAACCTTTTTTATTTTATAAAGGGCATTTTTCTGATAATTTACACATTTTTTTATATTTTTCAGCGTGGTCAGTCACTAATGATAGATCCGTACATAAATAATACTTCTAGTTCTGCACGAACGGTTATCAACCTCTACCGCGCAGACGTCAGCCGATGTGACATAGCCGGCTGAAAGCTATGCCAATCCTGCTCCAGTCGCCATCTTGAATTGTGGAGCAGAATCGGCACAGCTATTCTACTATTGTTATAAACAAAAAAGTTGTAAAAAAAAATTACTCGCCGAATGGATTTGAAAACAGTCTTTTATTGTAAAATGGACCAAAATAAACACTTTTTGTTCTTCGTTTCCGATATATTTACAATTTAATATGAGAAAAGTGACGAAATCGACAAACTTTCGGAATTTTTTTCTCAAAAACTACTGAACAAATTTTAATTTTAAAAGCATAATAATCGGCAGATTTTCTACTTTGAGATATATATTTTTTAGTATGGGTCAATCATTTTATTGGTCTAAAGCGAGCAAAAAAGTATTTTAAAGAAAATTACACTTCAAATTAAAATTTACTTTTTACAGTATCTTGGAGTAGATTATATTTACAATAAACATTATTATGATTTTTTTTAAATCGATATACCAGGTGTAACAGGATCATGGTACACCCCCCGTATCTCCGTTAGTTTTAAAGGTAATTGATTGAAATTTGGGATATTCCATATACATAATAAGCGGCACTTTTTGATCAACAGATGATATTTTTTCCACTTCCGGTTTCGCCGGAAGTGATACCAACTTTCGATTTTCAAATGGAATACCCTGTATATTATTACATATCTGAAATCTGCATAATTTTTTGAATCCTATGATACCACATAAGTGACATTTCAAACGTCAACATTTTTTATAATTTAATTTTTAGTTTTCCATTTAAGTGTACCATGATGGTTCCGATTTATTCCAATTGACCCGTCTAATGCTGGAAAAATCGAAATCCCGTCAAAAATACTAAATTGCGGTCGGCATAAAGGTTTCTAGCCGCAACGGCATTTTTTCTACATTCCCCATAAATAATTAACATGTCCACTTTCTCATCCCTTGTATAAATGTGCGGCATTTTGAACAAAAATAACAACAAATGTAAAGACTTTTCCAATACACAATAAAAACACCGATAAACCAACAAAATTTATTTGACAGTCTGAAGGAATAATTTCATTGTTTTCAAAGCCACCTTAGTTTCTTAGCATTAAATTAGAACAAAATAATTGTATTTTCTTATTTTCTTTTAGCTGTAATTTTGATTGTATTTATCGCACATTTTATTACCAGGTATGAATTAATTCCTTATTAATAGTACTAATAAATGGTACCACGGTACCAATATGGTTCCATTTGAAAAAATTGAGTTTTACCCCAAAATCGATTACGATGAACTTTATTTGCTCATAAAAAACGCAATTTAGTATTTTTGACGGGATTTCGATTTTTCCAGCATTAGACGGGTCAATTGGAATAAATCGGAACCATCATGGCACACTTAAATGGAAAACTAAAAATTAAATTATAAAAAATTTTGACGTTTGAAATGTCACTTATGTGGTATCATTGGATTCAGAAAATTATGCAGATTTCAGAAATGTAATAATATACAGGGTATTCCATTTGAAAATCGAAAGTTGGTATCACTTCCGGCGAAACCGGAAGTGGAAAAAAAATCATTTGTAGATCAAAAAGTGCCGCTTATTATGTATATGGAATATCCCAAATTTCAATCAATTACCTTTAAAACTAACGGAGATACGGGGGGTGTACCATGATCCTGTTACACCTGNTTTGGTTTTGTAGCCGGAGTAAGGTTTTTGCAAGTAATTAGTAAAATTTAAATATTCGATTTTTGGTTTTATAAATGGCTAAAATTGACTTGAAAGTTATACCAAAACTAAACTAAATAAGCTTTTTAAATCGTAAAATTAACCTAATAATAATAATTGACCTAGCGGTCTCGAAAAATAAAAAAGTTATTGGATAATTTATTGTATAGGATAATTATTTTATTTTTATTTTACAAAAATATTAAGAGCAATAAAAGTATATTAATTTATTTTTTATTTAATTTTTAAATAATAAGTTTTTAGTTATTTTCGACAAGTTCTGAGTTGAAATTATCGTTTCATCATCAATTGCGGATGGAACATTCTGACATTCATCTGAGCACGCGCAGACTGCACAGCATTCCAGGTTCGATGACAGTTACAATTTTCCATTACATGAACAAAAATATTTTTGAAGCATATCTAACGCAGTTTCTCCTTCGAAATAATTAAAACTCAAACAACCATTTTCGATTTTCCATCCATGTGCCAATGGATCAAGAGTTACAATTTAACTATTTGTAGACTGTTTTTTTACTCGCTTTAGGCGATAATAAAATAATTGACCTATACCAAAAAAATATATCTTAAAGTAGAAGATCTGCCAATTATTATGCTTTTTTTAGAATTAAACTCTGTTTAGTAATTTTTGGGAAAAAAATTCCGAAAATTTGTCGATTTCGTCACTTTTTTCACATTGAATTGTAAATATCTCTGAAACTAAGCATTTTTCGAATTTTTGTCAAAGGATAAAATGTGTTTATTTTGGTCCATTTTACAATAAAAAACTTTTCAAAGCCATTCGGAGAAATATTTTTTTTACAACTTTTTTGTTTATAACAATTTACTGACTACGCCGAAAAATATAAAAAATATATGTAAATTATCAGAAAAATACACTTTATAAAATAAAAAAAGTTCTATTGAAATTGACAGTTCACGTTTATATTAAACATTACAATGAAATATTTCCAAGAAGTTATCATTATTTTCATTGTAAATTTCTTATGTTCTTTGGCAGTGACTTAGCTGAATAATTTCTTCAATACGAGTATAAGTGAACTGCAGGCGTTGATCTTTGTCCACACTGATGCTACAGCTTTAGAAGCAAAATTACAGGAAATATTTGTCCTTGAATGTTTACAACATAATTTCAGAATATGCTTTTCGTTAGCTTTACTTCAGATAGATATTAATTACTACAACTTATCTATGGCATTACTTGTTTAGCGATATTTGGTATTAATGGGCATATTTATACAGTTTGTCCTCAGATGAGGTACCGCACTTTCGTAAACTTTTTCTTTGTTGATTTTTCGAGAAAAATTTATTTTTCATAAAAAGTTCTGTTTATCTTGAGAAGCCATGGGCAGTAATCAAATATGTAATAAAACATACAGGGCGTTCAAAAAATTTTCCTTAAGCAAAGCGCCTTTAATTTTTGTTTTCTTTATAAATTGTATTTAACAAAGTTGTTCGAAGACAACACAAGAAATGCTTAAATACGGCGTTTAGTCAAAACAGAAAAATATGTAATCACATACATACAGGATGTCTCACGGTAACTGCCCATTAAAATTATTTCAGAGACTACTTCAATTTGAATTTAGAAAATTTGGGATTCCGGATTTTCGGGCATGCCCTTCTCAGCTAAAATAATGGCGTCCACGTACCACTTCCGGTTATACCGGAAGTCGCTATCAACTTGCTTATTTTAAATGGAACACCCTATTTATTATTGCAATTTTGGATTCTACGAGTTATTTTAGGTGGACTTTTATAAAGTTTCCCTACTCCTAAAATTAACCGTTTTCGAGATATTTAATTTTTTTTTCAAAAAAATGGAGAGAAACAGTTACTAGCTTCAAACCATGTGTATTTTATACTAAGATAAAGCAACAATATTTATAGGGGGGATAGCTAGACCCCTAAGCTTCCCATCCATACTTTCCAAGTGGCTTAATTGCATACAGGGTGCTAGAAATTTAATGCCGAGTTTAGTTAACTTCAAACCTTCATAGGTCGGTTTTTTTAAATGGAACACACTGTTTGCTTTTCTATATTCTGATACACAATTTTTTTCTCTTTCGAACGGTATCAGGGTTCCCTATACCTATCTCTTCTAGTTTTTAAATTATCTACTACTATATATATATATATATATATATATATATATGAACTTGCTAAGTGCCCTGGGAGCAGAGATAGAATTTTTTTTTAAATCTCACGCCTTTAATTATTAACTTTTTGTGGTGCCGTTATCAGCAATGTTTAAAGGGAGAATTGAAGTTTCTTAAAAAAAATCGTGATGGTACTAGCATTAAAACAACATCCCTGAATCCACCGCCAAACGCGAGATGAAATTGCGGCTATGGACCGGAGCTCGCGGCTCGGTGGTGGGGGGATCTTCAAATCCAAACAAAGTGAAATTTTTTCCATTTTCTCCGCAACTACTGCTTAGAATTTCATCATTTTTTTTTAATTTGGGGTAGCTCGTCGAATTATTAACTTTTACCTTCACGATTTAAAGCAAAGNAAATCTCACGCCTTTAATTATTAACTTTTTGTGGTGCCGTTTTCAGCAATGTTTAAAGGGAGAATTGAAGTTTCTTAAAAAAAATCGTGATGTTACTAGCATTAAAACAACATCCCTGAATCCACCGCCAAACGCGAGATGAAATTGCGGCTATGGACCGGAGCTCGCGGCTCGGTCGTGGGGGGAGAGAGATGAGATGCTGCCTTTATTTCACTTGGTTTGGATTTGAAGACGCGCGCCAAGTTTTCAGCAGCTCGAAGGCAGCATTTCATCTCTCTCCCCCCACCACCGAGCCGCGAGCTCCGGTCCATAGCCGCAATTTCATCTCGTATTTGGCGGTGGATCCAGGGATGTTGTTTTAATGCTAGTAACATCACGATTTTTTTTAAGAAACTTCAATTCTCCTTTAAACATTGCTGAAAACGGCACCACAAAAAGTTAATAATTAAAGGCGTGAGATTTAAAAGAAAATCCTATCGCTGCTCCCAGGGCACTTAGCAAGTTCATTTTTCTTTGTAAATTCGTCAAAAAAATCAAGCTTTAAGAAAATATTGACAAACAATAACGATCGCGTTTACAACGGGAGCTATTCCATTTATTAATTAAGCCATTTATAGCAATTAGTTTGGAGCGATATTTAAACAATTTAAATTGAAAAAATGATCAGGTAAACGGGTCTGCATGAAACTAGAACACTTCACGAAAAGAACGAGCCCTTGCTGAATGCTGCGCGACACCCCCAATCGATAGAAATTATTTTAAAAAAAAGTCCCATTTTTAATAACAATTGCTATTACATAAAAAGTTTTCAATATTTTTCTTCCAAATTTGAACCGTAATTTTATCCCTTCGAAACGCTTAGTTTACACAATGGTAGAAATTGATATTTTGCAAATTGTTAAAGCTATTAAATAATTAACAAATGGCTTGTTTTAGTGGTTTTTTTTGCAATAACTCAATAACTAATTATTCGATTTTGACAAGCGACCAATTAAAGGGCTTTTTAGCGCCGATATCTTATAGAAATTACATTGTTTTAAATGCAGAAGTTCTATATTAAAAATTAATAAAACCCGTTTTTTCACCTGGTTTTTGCTTATAAAAAATTAACGCTGACTTTTTTTTTTGCGGCACGAACCAGAATCTGATTCACCAACACGATCCACACCTTTTTATCATGGAATATTCTTACCGTCAGTTTTTGTGGGTGATCCTACTGTAATGCCTGTACTATAATTAAAATTGTGTATTACTATGTATGAAGTTGATTTTTTAGAATTCTTCTTAAATTTATTCTGCTCGTTGGTGGAAAATTGGGATATGTCTCATTAAAAACTGTACATGTTCTGCTTATAATCCCATTACAACGTCCGTGAATGCATAATAAATTTTAAATATCAGCATTTGAATATGTATTGTTTTCCATTTCTTATAAACACTAAATTAAACTGTCACTGCAAGGGAGTAGCAACAAATTGACAGTTTAATTGTTTGTTTTGAAGTTTTGTTAAAAATTCCACAGCTATCCTCGCAAGAAATTACATGATATTAGGTGATTACATAAAAAATAGTAGATAACTTAAAAACTAGATGGGATAGGTATAGGGAACCCTGATACCGTTCGAAAGAGAATAAAATTGTGTATCAAGATATAGAAAAACATACAGGGTGTTCCATTAAAAAAAAACTATTTATGAAGGTTTGAAGTTAACTAAACTCGGCATTAAATTTCTAGCGCCCTGTATGAAATTAAGCCACTTTCATATTATGGATGGGAAGCTTAGAAGTCTAGCTATACCCTCTATAAATATCGTTGCTTTATCTTTCTTACTATAAAATATACTGTTTCTCTCCATTTTTTTTTTGAAAAAAATTAAATATTTCGAAAACGGTTAATTTTAGGAATAGGGAAACTTCATAAAAGTCCACCTAAGATAACACGTAGAATCCAAAATTGCAATAATAGGTATACTTATAGGGTGTTCCATTTAAAATAAGCAAGTTGATGGCGACTTCCGGTATAACCGGAAGTGGTACGTGACGCCATTATTTTAGTTGAGAAGGGCATGCCCGAAAACCCAGTATCCCGAATTTTCAAAATTCAAATCGAGGTAGCCTCTGAAATAATTTTAATGGGCCGTCACCGTGAGACACCCTGTATTATTTGACGAAAATTTAAAAAATTAAAAAGTATATAGTATACATAGGAAGATAGACCATATTTATTTGTTAAAAATAAAATGAAACAAAATTCAATCACATTGACATGTATTTAAGTCAATGCTAGACCCATTATATTATTATCGGTCATTAACTTTAAACTACATTATTTGTCTCATATGCTTCGTATTCCTTAAATATAGTTATGAAAGAATCCAAAGTTTCCTCAGATGTTGGTATGATTTGTTCTGGTGGAAGTAGAAAGCCATGCACGCCTAAATCCCGAAGTTCGTAAGTGTAAACTATTGGCGTTCCATATTTGCCTTTAACCCAATCAGGACTGCTTCCAGCAGCTGGATCTAAAAAAATATTTATACTTAAAACCCTGCTCAACAAAATTCTAGAATATTGTGAATTAGGTAGTCTACACATCTAAAGATAACAACGCATTGTTTTGACGTCACTTGCTTGAATAATAAAATAATTGTTATAAAAATCAAGAAATATGTTTCCTGCAGATATATTACATGCAAAAAAATACGTCAGGTGATCTCTTGATTGCTGTCCATGCATTGCCACCTTTACAGACACATTTATGTGGGACGAATTAACTTACATATAGTTTCGTAAACAGTTCCAACCCTGTATTGAGTACCAAACCGTTGAGCTAGGGCTTCTGCGGATTTTAGGCCAATCTGGTACTAAAACATTAAAATATATGCGTATATTTTTACGTATTCGAATTAGTTATTTATGTACCAAAAGAGATACAAGTCGCCTAAGGGCAAAATTGTCCTAGTATCTCCCGTGGTGCATACAACGTTTTATTTTTTACTTAGACGTCTCATTTTATATTTATTTTCAATTTAATAATTAAATGTTAATGAGAATGAAAACAGTTTTTCAGTATGTTTTATCCAAGATGTATATGACATCCACAAAATTGTTGATTTTGATAGTTTCATGTTTGATTCTGAGGAGAGAAATTCACAGATAAGAGATTTATAGAATTGAAAAGGCAGAATGGATAATATTCCAGCAATAGTTGCTACTAGAGCCAATAAAGTCAATGAAGAATTACTACCTAAGAAATCTAAATTACTTTAAAGAATATAAATAATTTAAGACTTGGACAAGCAGAAATTCAGTGACAACTGTTAGTGAAACTATATTAATGGTATATTTCCAAGAACTGGTGTGTATTACCTATTTATATATCTTTTAGTCAGAATCATTCAGCCCTAACACATTGTAGAAAAAGTACTCAATGTTGAAAACCACATTATAGTGTGCAGAAAAATGAATATAGAAGAATATCGTCGATAAGAGGCTAATTTGAAGCAAATATCGAAAGGATAAGAAATTGACAAGAGAGGATATTTTGAAATTTATTAGAGAAGCATCAAGTCATACATATCTTTTGGAAACGGTAATATAGGAAATAGTTGGCTATATTATTGCAAATGCTTAATAGGTTTTTGTTATTGTAGATTGTTCTAGTAATGGGTGTTTTTGGAGGATTAAGAAGAGATGAGTTGGTGAAGCTCTCGTTAGATGATATAGATGACAAAGGAATCGTTGTTGTAGTAAAAATTAACGATACTAAAACTGGAGTACCAAAATATTTTACTATTGTCGAAGAAAATGAAATGCGCGCTCTCCAATTGTATCAACAGTGTATATCTTCGAGACCAAAAGAAATTAAAGAACGGCAGTTTTTTCTGACATATCGGAATAGTCGATGTAGTGCGCAACCAGTCTTAGGCAAAAATACCTTCGATAGCATACCGTCCAGGATTGCAAAATTTCTCGGCTATGCAGATGCTAAGATGTACAAGGTAATTTTTTTTATCTTTTTCCGTTTTTTATTTTTCAATTCCGCAAAAATAATTTAATTTTGACGAAACTTGGTGAAAGTATACCTTTCTCTGTCTTAAACAACCACAATTTTTTTTAAATAAAAAATTAAGGAGTTTCCGAGATATTCATTTTTCCGGTTCGTAACACTTTTTTTCACACAAAAATTTTGCTTAGAAAAATTATCGTTCGGAATTCTGCCAGTGTTCATTTTTTTCGTTTTGACATATGCTTTTTGGTAAAATAAAAAAAAAATTATAAAAAAATCTGTAATCACAGTTCAAAAATTTAAAAAAAAACCAAAAAATTACTCTTGCAACGATGAATTTCTCAGTAATTGCTGATAATTTGTTTAAATTTAAAAAAAAATGAATTGTACGGAAAAAAATACAAAAGAAACTGTGTTTCATTATTTGACCCGAAACTTTATTTTTGTATAATATTGCTAAGTCGAATAATTTTGTTTACCGAGAAGGATCACACTGCTAATTTGTAATACAATCAAGTAAAATAGTTACATTAAAAAGCCTTTCGAAAATTTTGAGGTTATGTAAATAGTGTCATCTACAGTAGTTGTAGATTTTTGCATGATCTATAACTTTTGTATTGGATATTTTTTTTGACGTCAACTTTCACCGGAAATCGCAATAATACTATTCTTCACATTTTTTCAACCCCGCAAATCAACCCTCCACCACCCCCGCTCACGCATTCATTTCTTTTACGTTTATTATAAGCCCCTTTACCCAAATAAACTTTCCACACAGTTGAATAAATCGAAAATAATTCAGAGTGTTCGTTGTTTGACACTTTCGTACTATTTGAATGTCCTTGATCATTTTCTGTGGGGCCTCCTTAAAAATAGTTTTTATTGATTGAACCTTACAAAAACTAAAAACAAACATAGACAAATGTAATGGGGACCTACATGATGAGAACTACGAGGACTATATCATATTTAATTAAAAAATTCTATGCCAATGATTTTTCCTGATCATTGATGATTGATGAGTTTTTAAAAATATATTCATAAATACTTTTTTAAACGAATAATTTTATACATATTTAAAATTCAGTCAACTGTATCATACGCGTCTTCCTTAGAAATAATTTTAGCAATTAAATGAACTTATTTAATTTCCAAAATACCCAAAGTGTTGTCTAAAGTGATCCAAAGGACAACATCCTGAAGTTATGGCATTCTGTATGGTGTTGCAAATCAAAATAACATTCCACAACTTTTTCTATTCAAGGTGTCCCGCATAAGAACCGACACAGGGCAGGTGCATGTAAATGTGTCCAAAATATTGTAATTTAACCAAACTTACCTATATACAAATTTGCACCCCTGAGGAGTTATTAGCCCCCAAAGTGGGGCCCAAAATTTCGAAAAAAATTAATATCTCTGCAACACTTTACCGCAGAAGAACCAAATTTGGTATATGATTTAGGTTTATGACTGGTCTTTTTTGACTATGATTTAAAGTTAATTGAAGCACTACAAGGTGTTCATTGGGTATGACTCACCCCTAAAATTGTACCGAACTTTTTTTTCATTGACCAAATTGTAAAATAGTAAAATTAGTTCACAGCAGAATTTAATTTAAAATTTTTTTTTACTCTTGTTAAATTTTAAAAAACTTTATGGTTTTCAAGAAAAACCGTATTAACTGACACAAGATTTTAACAGTGTTTATTAGAAAATAATCGAAAAGTCAGTAGTAGGCTTTATCTTTCAAATTTGACAACTTGCCAAATAAATTTTACTTCACTTCTCTCCTCATTCTAGAAAAAGAAAACAAGTACCTAGGAAGTTTTTAAATAAGCGAATATTGTATTAAGTAAAAAATAGAAATAAATAATAAAAATAATAATTGAAAGCATCGGGATAGATACAATTATTTTAAAGAATGTTAAGTACAATACAATGCAGTTTGAAAAAATATGTAATAATAATTAAAACTAAAGGAATTGTTCAAAATGGACACCATTTTCCCTGATACATAAATTTATTCTTCGCCGAATATTGAAGTTTACTCTGTCAAACAAATTATGATCGTTTCTTATAACGTTACATTTATTTGTAATATGATTCCACAAATTTTCTCGGGATTCAACTGGCGAATAATAAACAAAATCCTTCAATGTTCCCCAAAGGAAATAATCACATTTGTTGAGGTCTGGTGATCGTGGTGGCCAATTTTGAGGACAATTATTTCCTCGTCCTATCCATTTATTTGGAAACTTAAGGTTCAAAAAAATCTCTAACAGTAGCACCAAAATAAGGCGGTGCTGCATCATGCATAAACCACAGCTCCAGTCTAAGTTGCAACGGCAAATCTTCCATTAGATCAGGGAGGGTATTTTGTAGAAATTCCAATTAATTTTTATCATTTAGTCGAAATAACTGGTCCAATCAAATAACGATCAATAATACCAGCCTGAATATTTACCTTAAACTTTAAAATATCGAGGAGTTATTGCATAAGTCATAGTCACATCGGCATATTCATGAAAGTTATGAACATTTTTAATTCCTCGGCTAGTAAAACAATCCTCATCAGTAAAAAGAATTTTCTTGTGAAAATTAATATGCTGATGCAAAACAAACTCACAAAACGTCACTCGTCGATCCAAATCTTGAGGCAACAACTCTGGCACTTTTTGGACACGATATGGAAGCAGTAAATTACGTTTAAGAATTCGGTTTACAGAAGTTCTTGATAACCCAGTCTGTCGAGATAAACGTCTAGTACATACTTGAGTTAATCTTCAATTGTTTGCAAAATAATTCCTTGTACCCCTATTAAATTAGGACGTTCTCGGATGTTGCCGAAAAACTTTCCTGTCTCTCGAGCTCTTCTTTCAACATTAGAAAATGTTTCTCTATGAGGAACCACACGATTAGGAAATCTCCTATGATATTCTTCCACACTTCTAGTTTCCTTCGCAGAAACCCAGCACAAGTAGCATATCAACTTGTTCCCTAAGTGTAAATTTTTCAGTCATTTTCAACAACAATCAGAGGCAATTGTTGAAATAAAATAATTTTATTAATAACTGACAAATTGGAAAGATAAATTCATTGCCTACTACTGACTTGTACTGATTATTTTCTAATGAACACTGTTAAAATATTGTGTCAGTTAGTACGGTTTTTCTTGAAAACCATACGTTTTTTAAAATTTAACAAGAGTAAAAAAAATTTAAATTAAATTCTGCTGTGAATTAATATTACTATTTTACAATTCGGTCAATGAAAAAAAAGTTCTGAAATTGTAGTGCTTCAAATAACTTTAAAACATAGTCAAAGAAGACCAGTAACCTAAATCATGTACCAAATTTGGTTCTTCTACGGTAAAGTGTTGCAGTGATATTAATTTTTTTCGAAATTTAGGGCCCCACTTTGGGGGCTAATAACTCCTCAGGGTGTAACTTTGTATATACAGGGATGGCCAGAAGTACGGAATAAAATTCATATCTTTTGAATGAGTCAATTTTTTTTAAAACGCCGAAACACGTTAACTGATTTTGATATTTCGGTTATATAATAATTAATTTTTCTTCAACCCCCTAACCCCCAGCTACCCCTACTTTTTTTTCAAATGGAAACATAAGGCATAAGGGCTCGTTGAAAAGCTTATAGAAAACCGAATCCAGCCATACCAAATAAACAAGTTTTATTTTTCCAATAACAAGTTTTTTTTCATCTAGAAATTGAAACAACTAGATAATTTACAAAAATAAACTCAATGTTGCAAATGCTGAAAATGTCCTCCATTCACTATTTGGCATTCTCCAAGATGATAGTAACAGCTGTCCACAGCATTCTGAATGACTTCAGCTGGTAAATTATGCATCTCCGCCCTAATCTTATTCTTTAAATTCTCAATATTATCCGGTCTGTCCTGGTAGACTCTTTCTTTCAAATATCCCCAAAGAAAATAATCCAGGGGTGTTAAGTCGGGGGACCTTGGCGGCCATTCAGCTATACCCCGTCTACCAATCCAGCGATTTGGAAACATTTCATCTAAGTATCTTCGATCATCAATACCAAAATGTGGGGGAGCGCCATCTTGTTGGAACCAAATTCTTTCATTCCGTATATCTAGATCAATTTCATGAGGGAAAATCACAGCTAGAGCAGGTATCAGGTCAAATGTTAGGAAATCCAGGTAGCGTGCGGCAGTAAGATTTTCTTCAAAATGAATGGGCCCAGGATTCTATTGTCGATGATACCTGCCCATACATTAACTTTCTGTGGATGCTGCGTGTGCGATTCACATGTCCAGTGTGGATTTTCCTTGGACTAAAAGCGATAGCTGTGCCTGTTCACCACTCCATTTAAATAAAACGTAGCTTCATCCGAAAAAAGTACGTCTCGTTGAAAACCATTATTGTCGTCACAGCGTCTTATAATTTCCTCACAAGATTGTAATCGCCTATTATAATCGTCTTCCAGTAGCTCTTGGACAAGACATACCTTATAGGGGTGGTATTTCTCTTGTTTCAGAAACATTCGAATTGCAGTTCGAGAAGCATTGTGATTGCGTGCCAATGAAACAGTTGAAGTATGAGGATTTTCAACAAGTTCTAATGCAATGTCTAATTTATTTTCTTCATTCAAAGCACGTGCCCGTCCAGTTTTGGGCAAAGTCTGTACTGTACCGTGTTCCTCAAATTTGTGAAATATTTTACTAATTGGCAGAGATTGGCCTTGCGAGATTTGATTTTCGGGGTATTTCGCATTAAATAAATCGCGCACTTCAGCCTGACTTCTTATTTTGTCTCCACATCCAAGCAATATCAAGATTTCGATACGTTGCCTTTCCGACAATATCATTGCAATTCAGTATATAATTTGATTTTGACACTATTGTGTTACTATTGTAACGTTTCGAACTCCAATTTACAACTAAAGTGAAAAATTAACCAGAAAGCCTGGCAAGTAAGTGGTGCCAAAAAAACGCAACATAAAAAATATATCTTTTTTGCTTTAGCAGTGATAGGTACAGTTTCAAATTCTTTATTTTATTCTGTGTAAATTCATGTAGGATAACACTGAAGATAATTAAATTTTATTTCATTTGTTAAGGAGGTGTTTTATACAACCCTAAAAACCTTGCTATTGAAAAAATTAAACTTGTTTATTTGGTATGGCTGGATTCGGTTTTCTATAATATAAGTTTTTCAACGAGCCCCCTCATGCCTTATGTTTCCACTTGAATAAAAAGTAGGGGTAGCTGGGGGTTAAGGGGTAGAAGAAAAATTAATTAGTATACAACCGAAATATGGGGAAGAATCAAATCAATCAGTTAACGCGTTTCGGCATTTAAAAAAAAATTAACTCATTGAAAAGATATGAAATTTATTCCGTACTTCTGGCCATCCCTGTAGGTAAGTTTGGTTAAATTACAATATTTTGGACACCCCTACATGCACCTGCCCTGTGTCAGTTCTTATGCGGGACACCCTGTATAGCACATCAGTGTAATTAAGAAATTACAAAGATGATTACTACTTACTATTTTATCATAGTTGCCTATATGTTCATGTGTATAACCAAACGGTATCAGCAAAAGTTGCGAAAAGGAATGGAAACTGATGTACGCCAGGAGTTGATCTGCAATGCCGTCGATGTACTCGGACATAACTCTACAGCTGGGCTCTGAGAAGGGTTCCGGACCGCGGTAGATTTCTGTGCAAGGACTGTTGCTTGTACCAGCAACGCCCCAATGGTAATCCCAGTTTCTGTTAGGGTCGGCACCAATACAGAGGACACTGTGGGGGACACGTGTCTTTCTCCACATACGATCCTAGAATCATTAGGAAAATGTTAATATTTGCTACAAAGTCTTCATAAATATTTACAAGACACCTGACCGCTCAGTTTAGGCAACCCAACATCGCAGGGTTGGTACTGGTAACGAAAAATCCCGAAATCTTGGCGTCACCAATGTTAATGACTTGTTTACAATGAACAATGACAAACCGTTAATTCTACGCTAGAGATAATGCGATCACTGCTTGGTTGAATAATAGCTCTGTTCGCGGAGCCTGTCAAATTAGTACGGGATCAGTCAGAAGCAATCGTTTAGCTACCTCTTTTATGCTATGCTTGTAGGAAATAGCATAGAAAGTAGCTGGACGGCTGCTTCTGAGTGATCCCGGATTAATTTGACAGGCTCCGCGAACAGAGCTAATATCTCGTGAAAAATACACCAGTCACAGCAGATGAAACATAATGTTGCGTTTTAATGCGATCTTGATCGTGTTGCTTTGATAATCACAGCCACACAAAAAAAAAGTTCTCCGAACTTTTCATGCGACATATGTTATCCGTAGTATTTTTGCCTCCTGATCACGAATCCGGTGTTAGAATTGAGTTATCACATCACAGTAATTTTCGAACTTCAAAAAACAGTTCAAAAATAGCAAAAATTCACGAAAAAGAGCGCCCCGAAAAAACCCCTGATGCGATTTTCGGCTCGTTTACGCGAAGTTTACAGGAAAACTCCCGGAGATGACGTCCATGTCCGGGTTCCGGTGCACCAAGTGTGCGGGGGGGTGCTCTCCGACGCAAGATCCGAAAAACCTCCAGACGTCAAGTCTCGTTTCATTTAAGAGTGAAATTCAGGAGAAGCCTCGGAGATGACGTTCATCATCAATTCTAAGCTCCAGATCGGCGATGGACCAATTCGAAAGTCATATTCGGGATCAGCGACCTCGAAACCCCCCAGGACCGTGATTTGAGTCCATTCCAGGCATTATTAACCGAGTTATGAATTTTTTGACTTTAAAAAATGCATTTTGCCGGATGCATTTTGCACTGCACAAATGCGATTTGGCCGAAAAACATAATACAAAGTTGATACATTTTTTCCACATAATTTTAGAAAACGAATTCAAAAACCCATCTTGATACGACTTGATCGAAAAATTTCGGAGATTTCGGCTCTTTTTGTGCTTTATTTCCTGGACTATTAAAAAACCAACTGAAAACACTTTTACTTAAATGACATGACAAGCACTAATCATTCGATTATTTATTCGAATAAAGAAATTTATAACATTAGTCATTATTTTAATAATTGATCGAAATTTATTGTTGCTTGAATCTGATGAAAAGCATTATTTATTCTTTCTTCAAACTGCTCAGGTGTATTAATTTCTTGACTGTATACCATAAAGTACCATGCCGTTTACATAAATGCATGTGCCCAATTTCAAAGTATTCCACTTACTAGTTTTTAAAATATTTAAAACAATTTAAAATATTTTGAAAAGTTAACACTATCTTTTTAACGAAGCGTCCTAGATAAACTTTATAGGAAATATTCCCCTTAAAATTCACCAAAGAGGTTTCATTTTTGATCACCATTTCTGAATCACCCTGTATAATAACAAGTGACAGTAATTTTATTTTTGCAACTCATGGGCAGGGGTGAAAAAAGATAAAATAAAGGGGTTTTTCAATATAACTCAAAAGGGGTAGGAGCTAGAAAAAAAAGTTTCCTATAAAAATTGTAGAGCATAAAGTTCTACATAAAATTGACCAATGACTTTTCCTTGTACTATTAAAATTAACAGAGTTAGGGAGACTAGAAGTTAAGGGATGATTTCAGACATTTAAAAAATCATAAGCAGAAAAATATTTTATAAATCTTTTTTAAATCTACTCTAAAAAATGTAAACTATCTTTTCAGAGAAATATATATTTTTTAATTTTTAATAAAAAAGTTATACCTAACAATTTCATAAAGCGGACAAAATTTCGAAAGCAACTGTTCATTATTTTAAATAATCAATCGAATGGCATAGAAAAAAATGGTTTTATTGTTAAACCATAAAAAATAACGATTAAAAAATTGAAATTGTTATAACTCTTTTATTAAAAATTAAAAATATATCTATTTCTCTGAAAACAAAGTTTACATTTTTTAGAGTAGATTGAAAAAAATTATAAAATTAATTCATTTTTCTACTTGTTATGATTTTTAAATTTCTGAAATCATTCCTTACTTCAAGCCTCCCTAATTCTGTTACTTACAATAGTACAAGAAAAAGTCTATAGATCATTTTTATGTAAAAAATTTTTCTAGCTTTTGCCCCTTTTGAGTTATTTTGAAAAAACCCTTTATTTTATCTTTAAAAAATTACTGTCACTTATTGTTATTATACAAATGCCTCAAACTATCTTATACAAAAAATTCAAGCTGACGAAAATTGCGATTTAAAGACCCATTTAATTGGACTATAACGGAAGTTAAGGGGTAATTTGCTTATTTTTTAAAAGGTCGAGAACATTTATTTATTTAATGTTAGTTTGTCTTTTTCTTTTAAAAGTTAGTTAAGGTTTTCTGTTTTACCTTATCCTATAATTGGAACTTTGTCCCGTTGGATATTGTAACTTCTAAATAAATAAATAAATAAAATTTATTTATTTATTAAGCCTTCCGAATACGTGGTTAAAATGAATGACATTATGACTGAATCACCCTGTATATTTCTCTAAAATAGAATACACTATGTTTTTGCGGGTCAATTGAAGCCTCTGTGGGTTCTATATTCAACTTTAAATTTGTATGTAGCTCGAAAGCAGCGTTGCCAAATTATGATTTTTTTTTAAACTTAGTCAAAAATATTATTTTTTTTAACTATTACATCTCCGCCACTGTTTATTAATTTTCCTTATAAATCTACATACAATCTAATGTTAACCTACTTTATCCTAAATTATCTTCAGTTTTCGATTTAATTATACAGGGTGTCTAAAATATTTGTTCAAGTTTCTCTATTTTCAAATACAACACCCTGTATATTATTTTGTCGTTAAAAAGTTGAAAGTGTACTCTTTTAGAAAATATTATGTTTGCCATATCTATCTCACTGCTATTTTGAAATATTAAAGTTTTTCATTAACTTTACACAGAAGATGGAAAAAATCGTATGTTACATGCATAGCAGTGTTATTAATTATTTTTGTAATTATGTGATATTAGGTGACAAAATCCCACGTCTGCGTCTTATTCCTTCTAACCCATTGCTTTCTATCTCGATCTCGCGCACTCTCAAAATCAGACTTATCTGTACCCTTAGGAATATGACTCACCGTAGTGTGTGAAAATTGAAATCCGTCAGGATTAAACACAGGGAAGAAGTACCAGACATGTTTTCGTGCCAATTCGCTTATAGTAGTATTGGTGCTTGTCAGTAACTCGTTCAATATGTAAGTTGTAGTTGCAGATGTGATCCTAAAAGTAAATATTGCTTATTACTATTGTAAAGTTCATTTAGCTGGAAAATTTTGCGGAAGTTTTAATGTCCTGCTATTTTCCGTATTTTGGACTACTCATTTCAAATTTCTCATTTGCCACCTCGTATCTTTGCCTCCGGTGCCACCATCTAATAAATTGGGAAAAAAATACATTTTTTAAGATATCTCGTTACCGGTTGCTTTTACAGCAAAAATAGTTATGTAACAAATTAAAGACCAGAAAATTTTCTACAAAATAGATGCTAACCATTTTTTTCATAAAACCGAACCGTTTTGGATAGGAGACTAGCAAAGGTCGCATTTTAGTCCAGGCGGTATCTGTCTTACAAAGGGTGTACTTGGGTAAAACGCATATGATCGGAGATTTTTGCTTTAACGGCTTCTAAATAACATCAGAAATGATAATTTTTTTATGCAAATAAAAAAAACGTGGGCTTAATTGTTATTACAAAAAAGTATAAAAAAATAACAAAAAAAATCATTTTTTTCTTGGATTTCTCGTCGACAACTTAGCAACTATTCATTTTAGACAAAAATAGAAGAGGAAAAAAAGTTTTGTAATTAAACTTTGAATAAGATAGAGTTAGTTGCAATTCGAAAAAATAATTATTGTTGTAGCAAAATAGGAAAAATCATTTAAAAAATTGCAAAAATTGCTAGTTTATTTGTCAATTTTTTTCAGACACTTGAATATTACCTAGGATCTTCATACTTTTCCCAATTAAACTTCTTAGTGCATAGAATCATCACACCAAATTTCATCCAATTCGGTTCGATAGTTTTTACATAATAATTAATTTTTTTTATTTTTTTTAAATTAAAAAATTTTCAAAATCAAATTTCTAAAAATCTAAAGCCTTTGATATTTGAAAATTTCACCACAAAAAGAAGAGCTCAAGCTTTAAAATGCATTTTGAAAAATTCAAATCGGACAATTAGGAGAGCCGTGGTGATTGTTTAAACGCAATTTTCACGCTTATAAACAATTGCAATAATTTAATGTTCTTTTCAAATTTTAAGTAATACTAGTAAGTTTGTTTAAATATTATAAAATTGTTTAAACAATAATTATTTAAATAAACAACTGAAAATTGGTATTAATTTTTAGTTGTACGATAAATTTCTAAAAATCTTTCAAAAAAAATTAATTGTGAATAATTATAATTTTAATTTTTTCGTTTACTTTTAAAATATTTATCTAAAATTTATTTTTTATTTATATAAAAAAATATAAGAGTCTTTTGGATACTTAATTAATACCAACAACATGGTGCAACATGCAAAAATTTTGGTCGTGAAAATTAACATAGTAAATAAATAAACATAATAAATTAATCATTTTTTAAAGTAACTGTTTATCGGCATGTCAAAAGTCCAATAATTAATAATAAAATGTAGTTGAAAATATGATAATTGAATTTTTTAGTTGCGAGACATCGATTTAAAAAAAAATCATCGAAATTGGTCCATTAGACGCTGAGATAAGTGAAATTTTTCCGAGTGTCGCAATTTTGAACTCGAGAATTCAGATCGGAGTAGCTGTGTGTTTGCTCCCCCCACCACTGATACCTCATTGATTTCACGCGGTCTTGAATATCTTTGAGTGACATTTTAAATGGGACGCCCGTGATTGCAAATTTTGAAAATTTATATCTGGAAAGTACTCGGAATAACAAACCTATTGGTTCAAAAAACAGCCCTTATAGTTTTGCTGTAAATAAGGGTTAACTTTAACGGGCTATAACTCCGAAAATAATGGGCGGATCATCAGGTTTTTTTTTAAATACTCGCCTTTCCGAGTACTTTCAAACCATATTTTAAAATAAAAAAAAATTTGAAAAAACATTAAATTATTGCAATTGTTTATAAGCGTGAAAATTGCGAAAATGTTTAAACAATCACCACGGCTCACCTAATCGTCCGATTTGAATTTTTCAAAAAGCATTTTAAAGCTTGAGAGCTCTTCTTTTTGTGGTGAAATTTTCAAGTATTCAAAGGCTTTAGATTTTTAGAAATTTGATTTTGAAAATTCTTTAATTTAAAAAAAATAAAAAAATTATACAATTATTATAAAAACTATCGAACCGAATTGGATGAAATTTGGTGTGATGATTCTATACACTAAGAAGTTTAATTGGAAAAAGTATGAAGATCCTAGGTATTATTCAAGTGTCTGAAAGAAATTTACAAATAAACTAGCATTTTTTGCAATTTTTTAAATGATTTTTCCGATTTTAGCAACAACTCTATCTTGATCAAAATTTAATAACAAAACTTTTTTTCCTCTTCCATTTTTGTCTAAAACGAATAGTTGCTAAGTTGTCGACGAGAAATGCAAGAAAAACATGTTTTTTTTTGTTATTTTTTATACTTTTTTGCATTAACAATTAAGCCCACGTTTTTTTATTTGCATAGAAATATTATCATTTCTGATGTTATTTAGAAGCCGTTAAAGCAAAAATCTCTGATCATATGCGTTTTACCCAACCCGAAACAAGTACCGCCTGGACTATTTAACGTGCAATGAAAAGTAATACCTATTTCCACATCACCAGTATAGTATAAGGCGCGTTTTTTACTATGGTCTCCCCAGTAGGCCTAATCCACACATTAATTGATAAATGAAAATTACAATAACTTCGCTTTGATACCCCTGAGGGACCAGCTTTAGCGATGTTTTTGATAGTTGAAGGCAACGAAGTCTCAGAGTCGTGTGGGATCAATAATTCTTCTGGCACACTAACTTCTTCTCTACTTTCTGTATCGATTTCATTACACAGTGCTTTTAAGATCGTATCAGTGTCTTCATCGTCATCACTATGATCTGAATAATGTTGATTCAATTGTTTATTTTCCTAGCAGTAGTATTAGTGAAGTTTTTGATATTCATGCTCCTATTAAAACAGCTAGATCCACCACATTACATGCCCCTTGACTCACTGATAACTTAAAATATATGATCAAGTTAAAGAAAATAGCTTATTTAAAGTATAAACGCTCTAAATCTGAACCAGCTTGGGGTGAATATAAGGTCCTTAGAAATTTTGTCAACAGATCTGTGACGTTTGAAAAAAAAATAGCATTCTTAAATCATAAATTGACTATCCGATGACTATCTTAACTTTTTTGCATCCCCTTTGTCTCACCCTTCGCTGATAATAGTACTCTTATTTCGGATAGCTATATTAGCAAGTCTTATGGTGAATCAGATAATAAGTTTGTATTTACTGATATTACTGTGGATAAAATTGACAAAATCATTGGTAATCTTAGATGTTCTGCTTAGAACTGTGATGGTATTGATTTAAAAATGATATCTCTTGTTACTCCATATTTAAGCAATCATATTACTTTTATGATAAACAAATGCCTCGCGGCTGGAGTTTTTCCTTCTGCGTGGAAAGATGCTAACATTATACCTGTCGCGAAAATTAATAACCCCACAAATATTTCAAACTTTCGTCCCATTTGTATCCTTCCTACCTTATCAAAAATCTTGGAAAAAGTAGTTTCTGAACAAGTAAGCAACTATTGTAATAAAGCCAATATACTGCCCGATACTCAGTCGGGCTTTCGAGCTCAATACAGTACTTGTACTGCTCTGCTTAAAGTTGCAGATGATCTTATAAGTGATATCTATAAAAATAAATGTGCCTGTCTTATTCTTCTTGATTTTAGTAAAGCATTCGACACTTTGAATCATACAATCTCTGTATTAAGTTAAAATATTTCGGTTTTAGTGACATTACTTTCTTTAAAAGTTATCTATTGAACAGACGTCAGAGGGTTACTCTGAACACTGGCACATCCAGATTTAATTTTATCTCTACTGGAGTTCTCCAGGGCAGTGTTCTGCGTCCTATTCTCTTTTCTATCTATACCGCTGATTTTTGTAGTTATCTCCGTTATTGTCAGTCCCATCAGTATAAAGATGACACTCAATTATATTTTTCTTTTTGTCTTTCTGACATCTCTTCAACTGTGGCCCTAATCAGTACTGATCTAAACTCTATCTCCGAGGTATCTTTGGCTCATAATCTTATTTTAAATTAATCCAAAACTCAAATGTTAATTTTTGGAAATAAAAGGAACGACAATGAAGATAATCCAGATTTTACTATTATTTTCAATGGAATTTATTGTTCTAACTGATAACTGCAAAAATCTTGGGTTGTGGGTAGACAATTCTCTTAGATTTACCAAGCATGTCAACTATCTTACTCAGAAATCTTTTGGCAAGCTGAAAGTCATTTACATTGATAAAGATCTTCTTAATACTGAAATTAAATTGAAAATCTGTGATTCGCTTATATTACACCGCCGCACAAAAAAAAGTAGTCAGTCTGTACTTTTCATGCGACTTATGTTATCAGTTATATTTTTGCCTCTTGACCACGAATCCGGTGTCAGAATTGAGCTATCACATCACACGAATTTCCTAACCTCAAAAAACAGGTCAAAAATAGCAAAATTTCACGAAACAGTGGTAGGAAAACTAGAAAAATTCTTTTTTTCTATATTCAAATGTTCATTTATATAGTTATAACCCCGTCGAATGTGAATGAGTGGTTAGAATTGATGGTTCTTTTTCTAACCTCAAAAAAACGGGTCAATTAAGGTCAGAAATCACGAATTTTAAAAAAATAACAAATTCACGCCAAATTTGGTATACGGGGGTTTTCGAGATCGCTGATCACGGATCCGAGGTCAATTTTGCAAAATTCAAGATGGCGGATCCAAGATGGCCGACCAAATTTTCAAAAAATAACAAATTCGCATCAAATTTGGTTTAAGAGGGTTTTCGAAGTCACTGATCACGAATTCGAGATTAGATTTACAAAATTCAACCTGCGAATATATCTTTTACAGAAAAAAAAATATATATAGCCGAAAAAAAGTAGATTAATACATGATTGGGTACTCAGGTTATAAAGTAAAATATTACAAAATACGTTTCGCAATTCTGACCTCGAATACGTAATCAGCGACTCCTAAAACCCCCGGATACCAAATTTGCTGCGATTCTGTTATTATTTGAAATTTGGTCGGCCATTTTGGATCCACCATCTTGAATTTTACAAAATTGACTTCGGATTCGTAGGCAGCGACCCCGAAAACCCCCGTATACCAAATTTGCTGCGATTCTGATATTTTTTGAAAATTTGGTCGGCCATCTTGGATCCGCCATCTTGAGTTTTGCAAAATTGACCTCGGATCCATGATCAGCGACCCAGAAAACCCCCGTATACCAAATATGGCGCGAATCTGTTATTGTTTGAAAATCCGTGATATCTGACTTTAATTGATCAGTTTTTTTGAGGTTAGAAAAAAAACCATTAATGCTGACCGCGGATTCACGTTGGGCGGGGTCTTAACTATATAAATAAACATTTAAATATCGAAAAAAAAATTTGTATTTTTGCTAGCATTTTTTCATGAATTTTTGCTATTTTTTACCTGTTTTTTGAGGTTAGGAAATTCCTGTGATGTGATAGCTCAATTCTGACACCGGATTCGTGATCAGGAGGCAAAAATACTGCAGATAACATATGTCGCATGAAAAGTACAGACTACGTTTCTTTTTTTGTGTCGCAAAAATTCGAAGTGGTTTGACCACAGTGCTAGATTTTGGATCCAGTTGTCCTGTTTGACTTTTAAGTTATTATTATATCATAAACCTGAATATTTAACCTCAAAGCTCATTACGAATTTTGATGTGCATCATTTGCCCACGCGTAACCGTTGTAACTTTTGTGTTCCAAAGCATGGGACTGCTCTGTTTTACCAGTCATTTTCTTACATGCTATAAAAAAATATAATTCTTTGCTTAATGATGTCAGGTCCAGCAAGTCTATTTATAGCTTTAAAAAAAGTCTTAAAATCTGTATTAGTTACTTATTGTATCAGTTGGTTGTATTATTTTTATTATTAATGGATTAATTTTTGTCGTAATATGAGATGAGTGTATTTGGGTTTGTTATGTGTTTAAATAATTGTTTTTGTTTCTATTTTATGTTTGCTACTTTATTTGCTATAGCGTATGTTTGTAATGCTTTCTTACATCCTTTCTTACATTTACAAGAAATTAATTTAAGAAGAACTTCTGTATCAGGGCTTGGAGAGTAGTCAGAGGGGCGAGACCATTTTTGTCTTTCTTCCATCACCATTGATCTGCAAGTTTTCGATACCAATCCATTGCTGTACCTGATGATACGTTCGAAACGAATGTTGTCTTGCTGCTGCATCTGTAGGAGGCGATGTCAAATTTATTCCTGTACGCTGATTTTGTGAAGCATTGGTGTCTATAAGTATTCAGGGGCATAAATTCCTTTTTATTATAGCCATAAAGTCTGAGAAGAAAGTATTTTCCAACTTTAGCTACATTTTCTTTGTCAGCACCTTTTTCTTTAAATACTTAAACTTCGTTAAGAATAGGGTTTTGTGCAACATATTAAGAAATTTGAGCTTGCCTTGATTGAAAAGAGACGACGTCGTCAACTGTTGCATCCCAGTGGTAGGCTTAACACATTAAATGCGTATTGTTTTACAAGTTACCTACTTGGTAAACTTTGTAATTCTCATACGTGGAAACAGTTAGTTTTATGAAAAAAGTTAAAGAGACCCATTTTGTAGAGAAAATTGTGTAGTTTAATTTAATATAGAATAATTTTTATTACAAAATCAACCAGAAACAAGATATACACAAAAATTGGTTTAAGGTTACATTTTTCTTTGAATAGCGGCGCCAGCGGCAAAAATACGAGGTAGCAAAATTAAAAATCGAAAAAAACAGTTCAAAATACATTCCAGATAAATTCACGTGGTTACTGGACTATATTGGAAATTGGTTAAATTACTATTATTATATCCACTTATGAAAATAACGGACAATATTTATAAAACAATGTTTCCAAAGGAGTAACAGCTCCATAAAAATGAGATACAGTCTAAAAAATATGTAGTATGTTCAATTAATGGTCTTTTACGTCATAACCTTACCCTTGATCAAAGAACAAATTTCGCTGTGGTATCAATGACGTCGATATCAATCATGAATTAACTTTTCGTAAAATTTTAGAGCATTGCAAGGTTAAGCCTATTTTATATTAAAGTTACCATTTTATTCCTCTCAAAAAGCTGATTGGTATATTCAATGGCACCAGATTTACAAAACTTATCAAACTTGAGAATCTTTCGCCTCCAGAGAAGACTTTATTAAAGAATTAAATGTGTTATGGATACTCCCAACTATTCGGTTATTATCAACCAATTTCTATACAAATTTCACGTCCAGTGACATCGAATTGTTCATTTAGGTTGCCTCAGGGTGATTCACGATTTATGTTATATTGGGTGGGTCATTTATCTTGAGACAAAATAATATCTCGGTTGGACTCGATGATTTCGAAAAAAGTTTAAGACAAAAATTGTAGGGCACTGAGGGTGCAATTGAAAGCTCGATATTACGACTTTCGGGCTAGACCGGAAGCTGATCTTTTTAAATGGAAACCAATTTTTTACCACGGATTTCGATTGAAAAACGAAAAGAAAATACTTTTAGTTCATATTATTTTTTCGATTTAACCTATATTTTGGCCATAAAATGGTCACAAAAAACAAAAAACAAAACAAGAATCATGAGACAACAGAGTACCTTGTTGGGACCATTTTTTTTAAGTTTCATGCAAAAGTTGTAGGGTAAAATGACCTTGACCTTCACTTTGAAGATCAAATTCAAAATTTTAAATGGGACCCTCTTTTTTGACCTCGGAATTTACAAGAGCTGGAAATTTTACAATAAGATATGAACTTAACCTCAAGAACAGGATCAGATATCAAGGTCATTTTAAGCACCCCAAAGGGAATAAAAAACTACTACGTCCACGTCGTTATTCCTGGGTAGTGTTAAAAGTAGTTAATAATTATACAGATTTTCGACCTTAAAATGACCTTGATATCTGATATTGTTCTTGAGGTTAAATTCATATCTTGTTGTAAAACTTCCCGCTCTTGTAATTTCCGAGGTCAAAAAAGAGGGACCCATTTAAAATTTTAAATTTGATCTGCAAACGACCTTGAAGTTAGGGTCCAGGTCATGTCAAGTTAGCCCCCTTTTCACCCTATAACTTTTGTATGAAACGTTATTTTTTTAAAGTGGTCCCAACAAGGTCCTCCGTTGTCTCAAGATTCTTGTTCTTTTTTGTTTTTTATTGCCATTTTATGGCCAAATCGGTGTTTCCATTTAAAAAAATCAACTTCCGATTTAAAAACACCACTTCCAGTCTAAACCGTAATATGGACCTTTGAATGGCCCACTCGATGCCCTACAATTTTTGTCCGAAACTTTTTTCGAAATAATCGAGTCCAACCGAAATATTATTTTATGTCAAGATAAATGCCCCACCCGGTATATTCTTGAAAATTGTACTGGCTGTAATTTTGAAAAAGTTGTCAAAGATAAAGGTAAATACTTGTATCAAAATAAGGATAACAGAAAGCCCTATATTCTACAGTGAATTTCACAAAAAAAATAGAAAATAATTTGAAAATATCGATATTCAGGAAAAAAATTGGACACTATATACAACATTTGGTAAGGAAGATATCTAACTAAGTATTCTCTTAAAGATTCATGAAAAAGAAGTACCTGAAACATGAAGTTTTAAAATATGGACGGTTGTTAACGTCTATGATATTTAAAAAAAATCATACAAGGCATTTCCACAAAGTAAGAATACTGAGACTCTGATGCTCTGTGGTTTTTGTTTTCAACAACGCTGCTTTCAAGGACAAAGTGTTGAGAGAAAAACGGGTGCTCATTTTTCTCAGTCAGTTGAGAACTGTTGTTGTAGTGGCATGTTGAAATGAGTGCCGCTATTCCAAATCCCGCCAGCTGCGAGGTGAGAAGCGTAACCCGGTTTATTCTGCAAAGGAAAAGGTGCCTTTCCAGATTTTTAACGAAATCAAAACTGTTCATGGAGATGGTGTGATGAATTGAATTGTAATAATGTGTGTCGTAAGTATAAAGCTGGCAGAACGAATGTTCGAGAGGAACAAAGAAGTGGGCTCACTCATGGGTGATCAAATGGTGAACGAGATGAACGCAGTGCATCCAGATCTCTTCTGCATGAATGTTAATGAAGCGAGTATGCTTGTTGCACGACAATGCACGCCAAGGCCACTAAGCAACGCTTGGAACATCATCAACCACCCCGCTCACAGCCCTGACCTGGCACCTTCTGATTTTCATCTTTTCTCGCCTCTGAAGCTGTTTAGAAGTGGAAAAAGGTTTTCTTCCGGCGATGAGGTCCACAGCGATGTGAAACGCCCCTTCGATTTTTTAAAAATTGAGTACGTTTATGTTGTGGATATGCCTCGCAGCTTAAAAACCGAGTATTTAAGGTTAACATACATTTTTGCAATGCCCTATATACAAACCACTATTTTTAAAATGAGCTTCCTTCAACTCTTTGGCGAATGAAATATTTTGTCTGACCAAGGATAAAACTATGATGAAAAAAGCGACTAAATGAACAACGCCCTACATAATATTCTTTGATTCTTACCATTCACGAGCATGGATAGTTGACTCCACAAATACGGATTGAGATACGTTGCTGGTAGGATACTGCACTTTTACGCCCAGAATTGTGCGCCCTTCGTAGGTGGCGTTCACTTCAATTAGTGTCACTACTTCAGGGTATGTATCTCTTAAATTCACAAGCCATTCGTTGATCTAAAATAGACAATGAAATTGAAATGCATATCTTCCTTTAACAATTGCCATAAACACCAAAACTTGTAAATTACTGTGGGTACCGAAACCGTAAATAACAGCAAATTTTCAATATAAATGGGGTTACATAACCCGTAAATTACATAAATTCAGTTTTTTCTATCTCGGTATATTGCTAAAAACTGCACTTAAAACATATGTATATTATTAGAATCATGAATCCATAAACAATTTAAATAGCCTTTATTGATAAAAAAATTGTTTGTAATCAAATAAAATAAAATTTCACAATATTAGATACCTTTTGCATATCTAGATTTTTGATATCGAATAGAGTACAAGCAAATCGGAAATTTTCAAGGGGTCATTTGACCCAGCATGAATTACTTATAAATCAATACTACTACATATAACAATAACTTTAGAAATTATGCCGTCAATTCTTGTTGGTACAGGTGAGTACACAGGTAAGCTAAACCTGTCCACCATGGGGGGTGGTTTTCGGCAAAACATATTTGTATGGCATTTCTATAGGTATATAGGTTATAAAAAAAAATGAACCTCAACCTAATGCCGTACAAAAATTGTAATACCAGAAGCCAGGAAAAGTTTTGATTTTCTGAAAATTTTGTCCCGGTTTTTGGTGATTTACTACAGTACGGCATTTTTACTGTAAGTTTCCGATTGATACGTAGATAACTTTTTTAGTGACGCCGTACGTATCTGCTGATACAGGGGTTAGAAATGCAGGGCGCAACCCTCTATTTTAGCCCCCATTGTTTCAAGTCATTGAAAAATGTATGGCATCGATTCCACATGATTATTTAACTCTCCAAATAATTCTTAGCAACTATGCCGTATGAAAATTATGGTTAATGCAAAAGTTTATAAACAATTACTTCTATTTTGGAATTGAGTTTAATTTTTTTCGTGTACGGCAACCACTTTTTTGATAACATATAACCAAAAACTATCGTACTAAATCATGACCGGTTATAATTAAAGGTACAAATTAAAAATTCGAATTAAAAAACAAATAAATTTATTGTGAAAATTTACAATATTTTGAAAATTCCTTGTTATAAACTATAAATGTTATATTCAAAATATTATGGCTGTAATTGACTTTTGATAAGTAAAAAAATATAAAAACCAATGCCGTACTTTTTTAACTAGTGGATTTTACATAGCTGATAATATTTTTCATTAAATTTTTACTACATTTTTAGGTCATTAATAACTATACGGCATTTACAAAATTTACAAATAATGAAAATTGCAATGCCGTACATATTTGTTGGAACAATTCTCCGAAACTGTATAACCCCAAAATGAGTTTTATTCTAATTTCAAGACAAAAATTTATACTGTAGAAATTATGATGGCATTGTCTTTAAGTTAAAAAAAATGTGTATAGAGAATCGAGAAAATATTTTGAGAAATTTAGAAATTTAATGACGTGCAAGAAAGTATTATTTTTAAATAAATATAATAATAAACAATTAATTTTAACTCAATATTCATGAGAATTTCTATATAAATACTTACATTTAAAACAGTGATATAATATATGTTTTTAAGTAACAGTACCCTCGCATTTGCATATTTGCAACTTCTGTTACAATTTATTTATGCAAAAATTGTGATGAAGCTATTGACATACAATATATGTCTAAAATTAGTAAAAATAATTTAGAAGTGGATTTGTTACAAAAACAACTTTAATATTGTTGGATATAAACATTAATAAAACCACATACAAATTTACACGCCGAAAAGAAAAAAAAGACAGAGAAAGAAGATATTTCGATGGCCAGCTAGAATCTCGAAATGGTTATTTTAATTTTAAAATAAAAATAATTCCAAAGTTTTTAAAAATATTCGAATGCAGAGTTTTTTATCGATTATTTAATAATTTTTTGGATTTTAAAAAAATTTTACTTATGTACTTGTGAAAAAAAAATTAATATACATATAAGCTTTTCAAATTTCTAAAATTAATAATTTTTATATCGACCTATGGTTTTTAACGGCATATTACTTAAAAATTATTTTACATCTTAAATAACATTTTAGCAACAATGCCGACCATTTTTCAATGATCGGAAACCATAAGGGTCAGAATATAGGGGTTTGCATCCGGGGTTTCTCACTCCTGTATCGACAAATATGTACGGCATTACTGACAAATATTTCTATATGATATTGTAAGTTTTATTCTAGAAAGGCCGTACAGTACTAAATAATTTGTATTAAGGAGAAAATAGTAATAAAAATAAAATCAATTCTTGCAAGTAATACTTATTTGCAAAAATACATTTCAATCCATTTAGAACCATTTTTTTTTGTATGGCATTTTGTTTTTGTTGATTACTTATTGTTGTCAGTATTAACAAAATATATTAATGCCGTACAAAAATTTTTAACCGTGAAATCCTACTTTTCAGAGGGAAATTAATTTTCCTATAGTAAGCACATGTTTCATGAAAAATGTACGGCATGTCCAAAAATGTCATTATTTTATAAATCAGAATTAAAATCAGTGAATTTAATGTTGGTTCAAATCACTCCCCATGCGCTACTTATAAATAGAGAGTTGCACCCTGTATTCCTAACCCCTGTATCAGCAAGTACGTATGGCGTCGCTTAAAAATTTGTCTATGTATCGATCCGAAACTTGCAGTATAAATGCCGTACTGTAATAAATTATCAAAACCCTGGCTTCCGGTATTGCTATCTTTGTACGGTAAAGAAAAGAAAACCTAGAGAAATATAAGCAGTTAAGAAGCGAGAAAGTGTAAAAAGATTCAAGTTGGAGAAATCAAGAATTTAAAAATACCAATTGGAAAAATAAGCTATCCAAGAAATACGAGACAAGCGGAGCACCAACAAACAAGGTCCAGGAAGACAGAAAGAACGCGGAATAGCAGTAGCAGGTTCCAGAGGCCAGTAGGAAAAGCAGGAAAACGGAAGATCAGTAGCAGGATCCAGGAGAGCAGTAAGAAAACCGCATATCAGTAGCAGAGGAAAAGATCAATAAAACAAAGTAAAGGAGAGAAATCAGTCGACACATCATTATCGATTATACGTATAAAAAAAGGTACCTGTTATAATAAAAACAAAAGTCGTATACGAAATTTGATACAGATTTTCAAAAGTAAAAAGTTAATATAAAAAAGTTTAGCAAGTCACTAATTCTATATTAAACAAATTTATTTAATCATATCATACATACTCAAAATTGGCCAATCTTTGTAGAATTAAATATTAATATTAGAGAAAAGTAACCAGTGTTAAACAAGAAGTTATAAGATAAAACGTCAGTGTCTTAATATATGCAACCAGTCCTACATGAAATTTAATTTAACGATCGTATCAATATAACCTCTTGTTTAAGGTTTTGTAAATAGTGTGAAATACTTCAAAATATTGACTATAGTGTTTAAGAGTTTATATTGACAAATTTTGACATATAGATAACAAAACAATAATAAATTCATTTATTAATAACCCTTTTGTCTTTATAGCTGTGATTGTGTGTGGTTTCTTGCTAAAGCATATAGTGAATAGAACCGACTACTGAGAGAGAATCTAGAGCTAGGTAGGGCGAAGATATACAACCACCAATACACCAACTACAACACACAATACACCAATACAACCAAATTGATATCACAACAATCAAATTTTATATTGGCGCTAACATATACTATCGTACACACACATAATCATAAGAATATATATATATAAACAATAAGGGCCGGTGTACGTAAATAAACAAAGTTTCATATAAGTGCACTATGCACTGTGTATGAACAAAATCAAGTAAATCAAAATCAGTAAGTAGTATCTTACTAGTAAAATCTAATAATCAAGTAATATTAAATATATATACCTAATAATTCAAAAAGATGTGAATTTTACAATAATAAAGTTAGGACGATAACATTTATAGGGGACATAACTAAAACTCTAAGTTTCCCTGCCATAATTTCAAAATAACTTAATTTCATACAAGGTAGTAGAAATTCAATGCCGAATTTAGTCAACATTAAACCATCTTAACTTATTTTTTTAAATGGAACACCCTGTATATTTTTGCGCAACCTGATGAACAATTTTGTTCTCTTTGGAATGGTATAATGGTTCCCTATACCTATCTCTTCTGGTTTTTAAAGTATTTATTGTTTTTCGTGCAGTCAACGGATATTGCATAATTTCAACTCAAATAAACATTCACTGTGTGTGTTAAATTGACAACAATAAACTGGTGACAGATTAGGTGCTTGTTTTGAAGTTCCACTAAAAATTCCACAACCATCCCCGAAAGAAATTATGCGATATCCGTTGACTGCACGAAAAACAGTAAATACCTTAAAAACCAGAAGAAATAGGTATAGGGAACCATTATAGCATTCGAAAGAGAACAAAATTGTTCATCAAGTTGCGCAAAAATATGGGGGTTCGCTTTAAAAAAAAATAAGTTGAGATGGTTTAAAGTTGACCAAATTCGGCATTTTTATACCACCTTGTACGAAACCAAGTCATTTTGAAGTTATGGCAGGGAAGCTTAGAGTTTTATATATAAATGTTATCGCTCTAACTTTATTATTGTAAAATACACATCTTTTTGAATTAGGCAGTGCTTTTTTAATTTTTTTTTGAAAAAATTAAATATATATAAAGTGGTTAACTTTAAGAATAGGAAACCTTTATGAAAGTCCACCTAAAAAACACGTAGAATCCAAAATTGCAATAATATATAGGGTGCTCCATTTAAAATAAGCAAGTCGATGGCAACTTTCGGTATAACCGGAAGTGGTACGTGGACGCCATTACTTTAGTTGAGAAGGGCATGTCTGAAAACACTATTGCCCAAATTTTCAAAATCAAAATCGAAGTAGTCTCTGAAATACGTCTAATGTCTCTTTACTGTGGGAAACCCTGTATATTAGCATATACAGGGTGTCCCCAAATTTCACCGACAACGTTTGCCTGCACATTCAGGACGATAAATAAAAACGATCTACGAAAAAATGTTAAATAAATTTTTTTTGGTTTTTGACTCAAAGTTGTCAAAAATAAAACTAATTTAATTAATAACTTCATAGCCCTTTTGCCGATCGCATTAAAATTTGGCACATTTATTTGTACTATTATTAAAGTTTTAGTCAAAACGATATACTGAGTGATAGTCTTCTCCGGTTACTTCTCCCTTTTAGAGGTCAAAACAGTGATCGTATTTTTTTTTAAACGGACAGCAACATTGAAAATGTCGTTTGATTAAAAAAAAAACATTGTCTTTTAAGAAAATCGCCTACAGAAAGCCATTCTAGAGAAAAATGATGTTATTTGCAGGTCTGTATGTTTCAGTAGGCGATGAAAACAAGATGTTGATTGCTGTCCCTATCAGGTAATGTCATTGTTGTCGTGTTTCTTTAGGATTCACATCACAGCACACAAGCAAATTATGAAAATTTACAACTCCGTTCCTTGTAAAACTAGATTTATCGGTAGAAAACTTTTTTTGAAGCAAATTATTATCTATTATGTCCAAAGAAGTTGCTTTTTTAAATTTTTGTGAACATTAGTTTTACATAGATTTAATTGTCTTGACACACTGCGGATACTTCATAATTTGCATGTGTGGAGTGATGAAAATCCTAAAAAAACACGACAATAATGACACTACCTGATAGCCACAGCCATCAACATCTTGTTTTCATCGCCTACCGAACTCAAAATTTTAAATCCGTGACACTGAAGAACGGCTTTCTGCAGGCGATTTTCTCAAGGGGCTACATTTTTTTAAAATGAAACGGCCATTTCAACGTTGCTGTCAGTTTTATAAAAATACGACCACTGTAAAAGTTTTCACCGCTAAAAGAAAAATTTGACCGGAGAAAACTATCACCCAGTATATCGATTTGACTGAAGCTTTAAGAAACAATACACCATAATAGTCCAAATAAATGTGACAAATTTTAACGCGATCGGTAAAAGGGTTATAAAGTTATTAATTAAATTAGTTTTATTTTTAACAACTTCGAAGGCCTGTAACTCAAAAACCAAGAAGTTTTTATTTAACTGTTTTTTCGTAGATCGTATTTATTTATCGTCGTGAATATGCTGTCAAACGCTGTCGGTGAAATTTGCGGATACTCTGTATAATAATAACATAAAAATTATATTAAAAAACGAGTATTTGAGAAATCTAAAATTTGCGACCAAGCTTGAGTAAACGGTCGTAATATTCGATTAGGTTCGGCTAAAACTTTGGAAAAGGAAAATAATACAGTTAAAAAATTGTTAAAAAAGACCTCGATTATTTTGTTGATGGCGAAGGATGTGTGCCAAATTATTCTATGAACTTGAATCCTTACTAACTACAGATTCTAAAAGATGAAGTAAATAATAATATAATAAACTTCATATGATAATTCTAGTTATGGGAACAGACAAAAGCAAAAATATTTAAACTGTCAAAGCAACTAAAACGAAAAGTCAAAAAAAGTTCAGAAGTTCAGTTCGTACTATATTTTGTATTTGTCTGCTTTTTGCAAGTGTTTATTTCACTAGTTTTTAAATTTTTTCATAGGTGTCAAAATACCCAAAAAATAAAGAGGAAAAAAATTATTTGTATTTTAATATTTCTTAATTTTGAAAATGACCGTAGATAAGTTTCAAGGAATGTAAAGTTTATACCTCACTGAGAGTGTGATAACGCTCCCAGCCAAATCCAGTGTCATAAGTCGCCGGACGCTCCTCAGCATCGATATAGTCCTGGACGTTCTCCATCATCACCTCTGCATCGATTCCCACCCTCTCCGCTAAATGGTGCACCTCAGATATCTTGTAAGGGGGCACCATAATCTGAACAGGTATTCCTACGGGTCCTACGGAGCTCCAGAAATTATATTCCGAGAAATCACCTTGTTCCAACTCGACCAGTGCTTGTACCGCCTCAGCAGTCCTCGGAGTGAATTTGTACAATTTGTAACCATCATATCTCACTTTCTCGGAAAGACAGCTGTGAACAACCAGACACAACAGGAATGCTACTATAAACTTCATTTTGCTTTGCTATGGATTAGATCCCATTTAGCAGGAAATGGATCTGGCCGAATGGCCCTGAGGGTAATATTTATATGTTCTGTTTATCAGCTCATGAAATATCTGCCATATAGATATCGCAGACGTTAAGACAGGCATCAATTATGTGTATACATGTATCGTGTGTTTTAGTAAAGGTATATAAATCATAGATATCAAGGGATTTGTAAGAAATTCTTTTTCACATGCTAAATGTAGATGATATATGGCCAACGCTATGTGTACCTAAGTGACATTGGAATCTTTATAGTTTACTTTCACGAAAATTAGTATCATCTAACGAAAGAATAACATTAAGTAGAGAAGAAGAAGGAAGAGGAATGATAGACCAACGAGAACTGTGCATCAAATAGTTAAAATACTTAAGATCCTATTTCTGTAATAAAGAATAGGGTTTTAGGACAAATAGATTAAAATAGCACACCTCTAACCTGTCGACGCAGGAACAGTTATTAATATTCAATTCAATAGAACAGAAGGACATAAATTGGTCATCCAAACCGCTTCATGGTAGACACTACAGGGTGTTTTTAAATAAAGTAGCAAAAATGGTACCAGTGAATGTAGAGCCAAAAATAAGAGGAATGAAGTAAAATACATGATAGTTGCACCCCTGAGGCGATATACCCTCTTAAAGGAGGGGATTGAAATTCACATTTTAATTTTTTTCTTTAACATGAGGAATGCTAGAGACACGAAACTTGGTATGAGCATCCTACTAACAAAGAGACAACTTTTCAATATTTTTTTTCAATCATTGGCGTATTTTATAAAGGAGTGAAACAGTCAACCCCATTGGAATATTTTATTAGAAATTTTTTATACGAAGCAAATTATTTATTTAAAAATATTTATCGGGGACAATGATTTATTGCGCAACTTTTTTACCTCTTTTAATTTTTCGATAAAACCGATAGTTTTCTAGTAAAAAAATTAGATGCGTCATCGTTTACTAACGGGGTAATTGCGAAAATTTGTAAAAGTAAAGTAGGCGGATGTCATAATAAATAAATTTTTATTTATCATATTAATAAATTGACAGTTTCTGTCAATAAGCTGGTAATTTAATAATAAGATTATAAGAATAATTTGCTGTTAATTAATGAAAAGTGTTTAATAACTATGGGACATGTATTAGGTAAAGTTATTTATCTAAAATAAAATTTAATACAAACGAAAAACGAGAAATGCAAAATTAAATTTAAAGAATATTCTCGAAATAATTTCCATTTTGCTGCAAGCAAAACCTAATACGTCTGTTGAAGTTATAACGCACTCGCACAAACATTCTTGGTTATTGCGAAGGCCATCTGCTGCCTGAAATATTCTTAAGCGTATTTCTTCTGAGGAGTAGCATAAACAATACTTCTTATGTGTCCTCACAAAACGAAATCCATAGGCGTTAGGTCAGGTGAATGTGCAGGCCAACAAACACTGGCATCACAACCACGAGCAATCCAGCAATTCGGGTAATTTAAATTTAACCATTCTCTAACGGCAAGTGTACTATGTGGAGGCGCCCCATCGTGCATATACCACAATCACCTGACGTGTAGCGAGGAGTACATCCTCAAGTAATGTTGGAAGATTTTCGTTCAAAAATCTAAGATACTCGGCCACTCCAAGCCTGTGTGGAAGAATAAAAGGACCTACGAGAGTATTTCCTACAATTCCCATTCAAACGTTTAAACTGAAATTATGTTGACATCTTGAAATAAATATTTCATGGGTATTTTCTCCCGACCATGAATGAACATTATGAAGGTTTATTGCACCTACTCTAGGAAAATTTGCTTCATCGGTGAAAAATATATTCATTAGGAAATTTAAGTCATGCCTGGAAATATTAATGTACCATAGACAAATATCCACGCGGTTAGGTAAGTCAGGGTCATTCAATCATTTCACGGGTTGATGGTGAAAAGGGTATAAAAGATTTTCATGAGCTACATTCCACATAAGATTGTGAGAAACTTGCAGTTGCCTGGGCGCATGTCTTGTGCTTGTACCACAGTCTTGTTCTAGATGTTCCAGTCTCCACGCCTTCTTCCGGCACCCTACGATTGGGCTGAATTTTACCAGTTTCGGGAAGCCTTCTTTCCACCGAGGCCAATGTTTGTCTATGAGGAATCGGTCGGTTTGGATATCTTTGGTGGTATAATCTTACTGCAGCGTTACTATTTTTTCTGAATTCGAAAAGCACTTGGAGCATGTCGACATATTCTTCATTGATATAAATATTATTTGCCATAATTACCTATTCTGATAATAAATTAATCAATTGACACTAGTTATTGGTTGACAGAAAGAAAGTGTCAATTTATTGATATGATAAATAACAATATATTTGTTATGACATCCGCCTACTTTATTTTTACAAATTTTCGCGATTATCCCTTTAGTAAACGATGACGCATCTAATTTTTTTACTAGAAAACTATCGGTTTTATCGAAAAATTATGAGAGGTAAAAAAGTTGCGCAATAAATCAGTCTTCCCAATAAATATTTTTAAATAAATAATTTGCTTCATATACAAAATTTCTAATAAAATATTCCAATAGGATTGACTGTTTCACTCCTTTATAAAATACGCCAATGATCGAACAAATATTGAAAAGTTGTCTCTTTGTTAATAGGATGCTCATAGCAAGTTTCGTGTCTCTAGCGTTCCTGATGTTAAAGAAAAAAATGAAAATGTGAATTTCAATCCCCTCCTTTAAGAGGGTATATCGCCTCAGGGGTGCAACTTTCATATAAGGTGTTTTTTACTTCAATACAAATTCACAAATTGCATTTATAATTTGCCAAAACTGATTTGAGACCGAGGGAGATTATCCCTTTTTGTCCTGCCTCATCGCTGTAGGCCTGAGAAGCCTCGTGAAGGTGGGCCCCATCCGACGTCGACCCAGACCACAAGCGTCGCCAGTGTAGGCGCTTTGCGGGACCTCTCCTTTTCCTGGCTGATCCCCAACGGCAGAGAGCCTCTTCTAGCGCTCTTCTCGTCTTCTCGCTTCTTTCTTCGCCGGCTTGTCTAACCCCCCGGGGGATAGATGGCGCTGCGGACAAGTGTGGCGGTGCCCCTCGCACCCTGGGGGTGTGTTTTTGGGGTAGCGTTGTGGCAAAGGATACACGCGGCCATCGAGACAAATGACTCGTTGGCCTGATGTGGGCAAGAGTATGTTAGAGTAGCGCGGTATCGTAAGGACAGGTTTTCTCTCTTCTTGCAAAATTGGTCCTGGCTCTTCCTGAAATTTAAAGAGTTGGTGTCTAAGTCGTTTGTGTTTGTCTGTCTGTCTGTCGCCTTGGGTATATAGTCAACGACTTGCCTGATAGGGGGATTGTCGTGTTTCGCGGCCGTGTCAAAGTGCTTTTCAGCGTTTATTCTTATTGTCTGAGTGGCGTTGGTGTACCTATTGTAAGTCGCGTGGAATGTCTTCTTACGTACCACGGCGAGGCGGTGGCCGAGCGTATGGTTATGTTCTTCACAGCCTGGATTGACTTTAAATGACTTTTTGCCGCGTGTCCCCACGCCGCGCGCCGCGGAAGCGTAAGTTAGCTGTTATTGAAGCATCACCTTGATAAGCGTTCGCTTATTCCTTAAACTAAGAGTGTTGCTATCCTTGAGTAAGGGATAGAGCTTAATCCTGGTGATCCTCGCCCGCGCCACCGTTTCCACGATGTGCGATTTCCACGTAAGTCGCTGATCCATCGTCACGCCAGGTATCGCGTCTGTCGTGCCCAAGAGACTCCTGGGACAGTATCAGTATGTCAAGGTCGTGGGAGATTCTGCGTTTCGTGAAGAGAATCGCGGTGCTTTTGTCGGTGTTAATTTTAACTCTCCACCTACATACATCAAAGAGTACCAAATCAGAAAAAGTATATTATTTTGTAACATATGTTTAACGGTTGTCACTGACAAATTGTGATACTGGAGGGGTAAATTATTAATAACATAAGAAGCTAAATACGAAAATGAATTTTTAAATTTTTCAGTTTTATGGGAAGGAATACACGCTTTGCTACTCAGTGATCTCAAATTTTTAGTATGTGTTTCAGATCTCCATTTTATTTTATCGCATAGATATGTACACTGAAAGAAATGGGCTTATTAAACTGTTTATCTAGAATAATGTGTATAGCGCATATTAAAACTTTTATAACTAATATACAACTTTTATTAAAAAAAAGTCATCTCCATACTCATTATTCAATCAGTTTAACTGGAAGGTGCTTAATACAAGGTTATAATGAATTACTTATACATTATTAGGTGTTGTAGACTTTATATTCCAGTTGTATAGTAGGGAAGATTTGTTGTATAAAGACCAGTATCCGAATTTGTATATAACAATTGTATTAACAGAATTATTCGTTCTTATACTGAATATGTTTCCATTTTTGTATAACGCGTCTTATAATGGTTAAGTGATCGTCACCTCTCGGTACAAAACCGGTTATGATCGTTGTTAAGTTATATTCATAGTCTTGTAATAATAATCATATGTCAGACCCGAGAGCGAAGTGCGCCGACTCAATAAGAAACCTGGCTATTCCAGCCGCTGATTTAGCGTTCGCCGCACGAGCTCATCCCTTCTATCCTTCTCAGTGTTGTTCCAGCTATTACAATTGCACTAGATCTATTACATTTGAGAAAATTCTATTACCCTATTACTAAGTTGTCAAAATCTATTACACTATTAGGCTTTTTTTCGCGATTGAATATTGGTGAATATCTGACTTGTAGTTACTATTTCTATCTCTTTTGATCTTAGTTGTCACATGGACTTCACTTGCAATTCTTGCAAAAAAGCCTATTGAATTTTTAGTGAGGAAATTCTGGAGATGAAAAACCACAGAATCTTTATAAATTTATTTCAACCAAAGAAAACAAAAATACATATGGTTCCCTTGAAGAAACAATAACACTAAAATAAAATATAATTATAACAAAACGAAACTTTACTCTATAAAAACAAACTTTTGTTAAAAAATAAAATGATATAGGT